TTTAACAAAGATTAAAATTGTAAATGTGAGAGAAGAAATAGTATGTAAATCTAAATAAGAACTTGAAAATCAATATAATTGGTCAGCGTCAAGGACATTGCTTTACCTCGACTGCACGGAATATCAAGAAGTGTTAGGTACCTGTTCTTTAGCAGATTAAGGTCTTAATTTTGATATATTAAAGTATACTAATTTATAAGATTCAGTAAAAAATCTGATTATTTTTAACTGTCGCTTTAATTTAAATATAAAGTTAAAATAAATAATGTTCATTTTTTAAGTAAAGCGAAACATTTAATATTGTTTTCTAATTTACAAAGTATACGTACGTTAGATTCATACAAGGAACTATTTATTAGCTTTGCCCTTGCCCCATACAACAAAAACGAGCACAATAACTAATTGTAAATTTTAACCAGCACGCGTTTTTGTTTAGTTCAGTAAGTTACCGATAATCGTATCCACAAAATGCCAAAAGAAGTGAAAGAAGAGAAATTCCTCAAATGGAACAAGGAGGAGGTGGGGTATTTAAAGACTTTCTATGCTACCACGAGTGTTACCAGTGCAGTGAAAACCTGGAAGCGGAAATCAGTTTCTATCTTATCACCGAAATCGGGTAGAATACTGCGACAAAAAAGCAGGACTAAACCCAATTATATAAAAGCAAAACAAGATCAGAATGGTAATGCCAAAGATGGGGGTTTCTTCGTTAGACTGTTCGACGATTTCAAGAAAGCCAGAATATCTGACTTCGAATACCAACAATCTAAGATACGTGAGAATACTTCTTACAAACCATTCTGGGCGACTAAAGTTGTTGGTGCCAAAGAGAAGATTGAAAAGCAAGAGTCAAATGAACCTTCCATCAAAACGATTAGTTACAGCGTAAACAATAAAGCGGTTGCCAACAAGGCATTAGTTTTTGAACGCGAAACTTCACCTCAAGTAAGAAATAAGCTTTTTAGCCGGAGCAATAGCGTGAGTAAGACTGAGAAATCTCCCAATGCGAAATGGATTACAGTGGATCTACATAATGAATACAACCTGAAAATGCCCCCTAACTACAGGGGCAGTAAAATGTTCATGCCTACAGGAGAACAGTTGTTTTGGGTTTGTCTTTTTACAATTGTATATTTTAATAAGAAATTTATTTAAGACTTAGTATACCTGCTCGCAATAGGCTAGTTTACTCATGTCGAATTGTATTAAATAAATGTTTATTTCTTAAAGTATTTAGTCTAAGGAACCTTAATATATCGATTTCACTTAATAAAAACAGAAGATTGCTGTAGAAATTTAATTTTAAAAAATATTTTTTAGTCTATATTTTTTAAGCACTAAAAACGCTGTTCGCCACATCCGCCATGATTTTGACGTCTCTTGTGGTAAACAACTAAATGTCATTCGCGTGTTACTGTAGGTGGATTCTTTCGTCTGACTAAATTTATCTTAAAACACTTTTAACTTTAGGAAAGGAAAAAACAGTAAACTTAGTTTTTTTTGACAAAACTTATTATGGATGCCGGCTTTGTGAAAGCAGAAAGCACAAATCTGCCAAGAATTGACGCATTGATGGTTGGTGAATTTGTTGCACTAAACCCCGATTTCTGCTCTGCGGAGCAGAGAAACGACAAGGCATCTATGTAAGTACAGTGCATTTAGTATTACAATGTAGTAATAAACATAAAACTGATACAACATATGAATAAGTGTAATAAAGTTGCATAGGTTAATTTCTTTCGGCACTTTAATCCACAACTTTCCTGGAGTCTTCAAGGATGTGTTTTTATATTCTCGTACAATACAGTAATGATAATTACTTTATTTTTAGTGGTATTTATTAGAAATCATGTTTTTTTTTTATTATAAACTCAGATTTAAAAGTAATTTTCTACGTGTTTACGAGTTTTTGTTTACCACAGTTCACGTCATAGCATAGATAATCTATAGACTAAAATGGCCGACAGCGTTTTTGTTTGTCCATGAAAAATCTATTTTAAAATTAAAGATTTGTAGCTTTCTAGGTTTAAAAAAAATACAATACATTTTTTTTCGGTCTAATAGAACATTTATTAACCATTTAAAACCTTTTTCCAAAAAGGGTCAACTAGCCTATTCTGTGCATGCTTGCGTACGCCGATTCATACTTGGCGCCTAAAGTGACCGGTGCTCTGGGTGCCTGTGGCAAAAGGCGCCAAATAACCAAATGCGCATTATAAAATTTATATACAAAGTGAAAAGTAAAGGGCTTTTAAAGATACGATTCTCTTGTTTTCTCGCTTTACTCTGTATTTTTACCTCAAGCACGAAAAACTAGCGAGAAAATGTTCGTCTTCGAATCAGTTTATAAATAGGGACAGGAGGAGGTGGTGAAAACAAGCTAAAGGTACTCACACAAGGTATCCTAGCTATCCTGTCAGCACGCTCTCCGTTGAGGCACAAGGTAGATTTTTGATCGGTGCAGCAGGTGAGGTGTCTAGCCACTGGTTTGAAGTTTATCTTAATCTTGGTATGCTAATAAAAGGGTCACTGCAATCATAGACGATAACTTGTTTATATATTAGTCGATTTAAAGATAACAAAGGATTAGAGACACTCACAAAGATAGCCGATAACGTACTCAAAATCTCTGACCGGAACCTGGCGAAAGTTTCGATATACCCTCCGTGGGTCGCGGTAGTTCTGAATTGACATTAACAAGCTGTCAACCGCCTACTAAGGTGGGAATATTTGTAATGATTGTAAAGAACGAGTGTGTGCAAACATATGTCGATACGATGCGATATGATATATAACACATTTTTATCACAGTCGATTGTCAAATTACTATGTAGTTTGACAGTTAGACGCGATAAAAAACGTGATATAATGTAAATTGTGGTGCTCATACTAAGGGGACTGGTAGGTAGTTATATCAATGATGATGTTAAGATAGAAGGACGTAGAAAACATAGCCAAACACAAATTTAATTTCTAATTTATGGTAGAAAAGCACTACATAATGATGGTACGGAAAAATTACATTAATAATAATAATAATCTATAATTAGTTAAAAAAATTATAAACATGTCATGCTATTAAAATTACATCATTATGTTACCACTTTAACTTTTTTCCTTCCGGCAATAAATGCACGGCACACTTACAATACAATAGGGATGATGACTATTTTTTTTTCTTCGTTTATCAGGTAGATTATCAAAAAGTATTGGACAAGTATTTTTTTCTTTTTTCACATAATATAAACATTGCAAAGATATATTGATTTGAAAAGTCGCATGACGTCACGTTTGAGTACACTTATAAGTGAAAATTCACTCAAAAGTGACGTCACGAGCCCCTACGCCCAAACTTTGACGCGCTATAACTTTGTAATTTTTTGGTTGATTGCCCAAAGAAAAAATACGTGTCCATTATTTTTTGATCATCTAACTGACGGACTTACTAGAATTTCGTTTACTGTACCCCGTCATCATCCCTATTACTAGTATCAAACTTTTTACGAAGGCTTAAGCCGCTAGTGTGTACTCCTCCGCGTTCGTATTATCCAGCTCAGCCCCTCCTAGCATGAGCACCGCGATATGATATATAACGTCAAATTATTATGGAGTTTGACAGTTAACCGTGACAAAAAACCTGATTTATATCATGTTTTTTGTCACGGTGTTCTCTTTATAGAAAAGTTTTGAACACAAAGGCGATAGGAACAAGTGTTTTGATGAGCCTGAATCAGAATCAGAATTTTATTTGTGTAACATAGGTTAGTATACATGGTATATAAAATTTTTGTTAGAATCACTACATTTCCACCTTAATTATTATACAAATAGATATGGACCTATGAAAGAAGTACTATTATTTTTATATTGGAATCACAATTTATGAATATAATTTGAAATTGTCTATAATTATATGCAAGTCAAAGTAGATTATAAATTAATTATAAAAATTGATAAGCCATAAAGTTGTCATACTAATTGTCAAAATTTTAATAGAAAAATAATGCCTGATACAAATTACTGCGGTTTTCCAATGCTAATGGCATAGGTCTTATCAAGAACTCATTTAAACTTTGTTGAAAGTCGTTCTTACTCCATTAAAATTACGATGCCCTTCTTCTTCTACTTCTGTACAGTGGGTGTTTACCGCAACTCGACACCAGGTGCCTATTTCGCGTGAGAATTATTACGACACCCACAAAAATGTCATATGTACTCGTATCTTCTTTATAGTATTGATATTGGTTTTTTCATCATCATCTTAGTCAGCTGTACAAGCCATTTTAATTATATTTTATTAAGTTTGCATTCGAAGTCGATGCACTCTAAATTGCTGACACAGTTGACCCACTAATTGGTTTAAGAACAATATTTTACATTAAATAACAGTGCAATAAAGGCATTCACATCATATTGACGTATTTTAATAATTATCTCCTGACAATCGTCCCGTGACTAATTGACATATTGACAGTCGTTAGGGTCCTAGTAACGGCCCCTACATTAGTTTAGTTTCGAAAATCTTTTGAAAATCCTTGTTCATTCCTGGGATCCTATAATAATGCAAAGTTATAAGTTAAATACTATCACTTTTAAAAAAACTAATCCTTTACCAAAATTCTGCCTTACATCTCTTCTATCAACAAAATTATTCAAAGTTATTCGCAAATGATGGTTTATAACAAGTTTCAACAAAACGATTCGTAAATATGAATAAAAGAAATGTTTCATATATGAAGAGGATACTCCCTTTATTTTTCAACTCTATTTTAATTTTATTTTTTGTCGAGGTAGCGGCCACAGTTTAAAAGTTCGTGTATATGTATCTATATACCTTTTTCCGTTTTATAGATGTAACTCTTGTGAGGCAGACAGAACACAAGCGTAAGCTTAATAATAGGGCTCCATTTGTAACACTACGTACGAAATCATAAAAACTGCTATTTAAAAATGAAGACACTATCTCTGGAGCATATCCTGATGTATATTTTGTTTTGCAGCTAGGCGAGACCCGTCCCTCGTCGTTCGGTCCAGCCACATACCAGGACTTCAAGGATATCAGGTCGCGGTGCTTAGCTGAAGGCAGACTGTTCGAAGACCCCGAGTTCCCAGCGGTGGACCGCAGCCTCTACTACAAGGAGAGACTGGACCGGCCCATCACTTGGCTCAGACCCGGGGTGAGCATTCTTATATATATATATATATATATATATATATATATATATATATAAAACACACTTTTTTTTAGCCAGGTAGGTAAATGACTACCCCACCTGATGTTAAGCGGTGATAGAGTCCAAACGCGAAGATAGCTGGTACAGCAGTTATAAACTGCCACACCAACCATCCTCACCTTGCCGGCCTGAAAAAATGCTTCTTCACGCCTCTATCCATCGAGCGGTGTTAGTCGCGACAAAGTCAGGCAAATATATGGACGCACGTTTTTATTTCCTCTAGACCCACCATACTAGGACTTCAAGGACATAAAATATAACTTTGCCTCTCTTCATGGCCAATTCTCGGCTCCTGGTTTTCCCCAAAAATGACCTTATTTACCTCTCTTATAGAATAAAGCCCTAAGCCTATGCCTGTCCCTGAGTTATAAAAAATGCGGAATTTTGTCCGCCTGGACCTTGACATATTGTCACTGAATGCATCTACAATTGATTGGTCCGGTGTTTTGTCTGCAGAAAAAACTGATGATAAGGTCAAAATCCTGAACGAAGTTACATTATAATTTTTCTATTAGCATGCACCAATTCGCACAGTGAGAGTTAAGTTTTTTTTTACTGAAATACACAACAGAATGATGAATATCCACTTTTTTGGACTCGATAAACATAACTAAATAACGTGACATCGTTTTCTTAAACTTGTCAAATAGCCTATTAGACAATGGCGATGACATTCAATCTTATTGTTAGCGATTTTTTTGCCCACGCGCACGCTCGCACACTGTTACAAAAAAAATACGTTTTATATATTAAGAATATTCAGTTATTTTATTTTCTGTTCATTCACAGCTTATTTTCAAAGAAACCATTCCAAAATTGGATTGAAGATCATTATATTAAAATTTGTTAACATAAGAGCTTATACAAGTATATTGTTCCAGGAAATATGCGAAGACCCTCGGCTGTTCGTGGAAGGCTACAGCCGATTCGATGTGCAGCAGGGAGAGTTGGGCGACTGTTGGCTGCTGGCCGCCGTCGCCAATCTAACGCTGTACAGGAAGTAAGGATACGCTTTTGATATATCATAGCATTATCTCTATTATAGCTAAAAAACAATCCCTTTTCCTTTGGTCACACCATAACTTAAACTTTTCTGATTTCATCCATATTAATACCACACAATAGATAGTACAGAAGGTAATCTACATATGGCGCATACAAAGTGCGCTTGAGCACTATGAACACGAGTTCCATCCGCTTGAGATACGTATGTGAACTTTTTTGTCCAAAAAAAGAGCAACAAAAATAAAGTTAATATAACTGTTCAGTGGACGGTTGTTTGAATTCAAATTAAAGGTGAAATGCAGTTTTTTTTTATTTGTACCTAATATAATAATAATTTTAAAATACTTTAGCTATTGGTTTTTATTTCCATTCTTCCTGTTTCATTCTTAACAATAAATCAAACAACTACATACGTAGCTTCGTAGGTACACAAATGCCACTACCACGATTTTTCTGTACAGAAGCCAAAGTTGACAATTCTAGCGATAGCGTGACCGCCGAGCGTAGGTATAAAAAGTGAAGTTTATACAATCATGTCATGATATTACCTTCTGCACTAACTATTTTGTGTTAATACTTTGTAGACGATCCTTACAGTAAAAAAGAAGTATATTGTGTGAAACTTAATGTAGAGAAAGTCACGGGTGGAAATCGGTTTTAAATATTGTTTGTTTTTTTATTGAAAAGCATTTATATTAATACATCTGTACGGGACGCCGGGCTGTCGCAGTAGCGGACAGTTACCGACTCGTACTGAGGGGGTGGAGGAAGTTACACGCAGGAGTCTTGACTGTAGTGGACTGTAGTTTCGGCGAATAAAACCCCTGGTGTTCGGTATTGAAGAAATCGGTGGGCGCTGATAATGGATGGCCGGTGAGAGGAGGCTTCAGGTCCAGAGTGAACCGCTTGGTTGTTTCTTCCTGTTCCTTAGGGTAGGAGCGCCTGTCGCTGAATGCATGTCGGGGCATGTTCCGACTCGAATTTTATATGCTAGGACTGAGCTGGCCAGCGATCCATTACCTCACCCACGCTATACTTTATTTTTCATTTTCTCAAAATTTACAATAGTGCGAGCTTAAAACTAATTGTACATACATCGGGCATACATTTAGGCATATTTTTAACATAGTTATGTGTCCGTAAACACGATATTTTAGGTGTGGCGCGCAAAAAATAGGTCTCCGCAATATTTATACTTTCCCCCTCCATAGGGCTTCGCCCTGCCACGGGGCTTCGCTGCCCCACCCGCGCGCTCCGGGCGCGCCGGGTGGGGAGCGCAACATGTCTCAGAAAACGGTTCTATACAAACATGTTTTTTCTCCTACACAGTACATTTTTACACTTATTGATGCGATACCTATTTATTTACGTAGCCCTACGTGTTACCTATCTAATACAACAAGTTTCTTACAAGAATATTAATAAACAACAGCTCTACGGCCCTATAAAGTTTGCAAATTAAAAAGTCTTAAAAAACCTACTTATACTCGCTTAATGTCTAATTATCATACACCATTTTAAAGAAGAAGTAAAAACACATAAAATGACATCATTATTATAACAATTATACCTATATCCTATTGACTATTCATAAAAAACTATTCCCGATATTTTCCTTAATTACGCTTAAACTACTAACACGATTCATACAAAACTTCGATATATTATTCCTATAACTACCTACTATCTAATAAGACATAAAATAAATCAATCAAAACATAAAACATACTATTATCGAAAATTGTCAACTCAGGTAAAATCCTATAAGACGTGTGACAAGGACAACCTATTGTCTCCGTCCCTCCTATAGGTCGGAACTATCAGTATTCTGACTAGTTTCCCCGCGCCACCGCTTGGCGTCGTGGCGATCGTTTAGATAAAGTCTTATAAGATTATTGGAGAGAACGGGGCGGAATATCGCTCTGAACTATCAATTTTACAATGGTTTACTATGGGCAGAGCTATCTATTGTTGCGATATCCGACTCATTCTAATAAGACAACAAGGGAATGATATTTTTAATGCGTATACAACTAATTCATGTGAAATTATAGATACATTTTTATACATTGTTCTCGTATCGTCGTAAGTTCATTTTCTCTCGCTTCGGTCGTCGCGTACATACTCCCGCCGTGCAGCGTCGGTTGACTCGTCGCTGCATCCATCTTCCGTGGGAGTGGCGGCCGATGCGAATATCACCAGTCGCTTGGTCGGTCTGCGTAGCACTCCTCCGGCTGTCTTCAGATCGACGACTCGTACTGTGCCGTCTCGCCCGGGAAAAGTGGCGATGACGACTCCCTTGGGCCACGTGTTGCGTGGCAGGTTGCTGTCGGCGATGAGCACGATGTCCCCGATGGCGATGGTCTTCCCGGTCCCGTGGGGCTCCCGCCGGTGTTGCAGCTCGGGTAGGTACTCTCGTACCCAGCGCGCCCAGAAGTGGTCGGCGAGGCGCTGTGCTGCTCTCCAGTGCGGGCGGCCTATCAGGTCGCTCTCGTCGAACTCGCCCGGCAGTGGGACGCGCGCTGAACCTCCCAGCAGAAAGTGGTTGGGAGTGATGGCTTCGTCGTCTTCATGGTGCACGGACACGTGGGTGAGAGGCCGGCTGTTCACGGTGTATTCGGCCTCGGCGAGTAGCGTCGTAAGTACCTCTTCGGGCGGACTTCTTTCTTGCAAAACCGCACTTAGCGCGATTTTGACGGACTTCACGAGGCGTTCCCACGCCCCGCCCATGAATGGTGCTCCCGGCGGTATGTACCTCCACCGGATACTGCGGATGCTTGCTTCTTCGCTCGTCGCCTGCTGCACTGCCTTCTTCATTTCGTTTTCTGCGCCGTGGAAGTTGGTCCCGTTGTCCGACCAAATTTCGGTAGGGCACCCGCGGCGCGCTATCATGCGCCGTAGTGCGTGTATGGCGGAGTCCGTCGATAGCGAGGCGGCCAACTCGAGGTGCACGGCTCTCGTAGTAAGACATGTGAAGAGCGCGACGTAGCGTTTTTCTTGACGCCTGCCCACGGTGACTGTCAACGGCCCGAAATAATCCAATCCGGTGTACGTGAATGGCCGTCGGTGATGAGCGAGGCGCGTCGGCGGCAAATCTCCGGTAGGTGGCGACGGTGGCGCCGCCCTCCTTATGCGGCAGTTTATGCAACTGCTTATTATTCGTTTCGTGACGGGTCGAATGCGTAGAATCCAATAGTGTTGTCTGCACTCGTTGACTGTAGTTTCCACCCCGGCGTGGAGAAGGCTTCTATGTGTGTGTTCTATCCACAGTTGGGTGGCTCGATGGTTCCCGTCGAGTATCGCCGGTGTCTTCTGAGTTTCGGTTACTCCCGCCGCTGCGTTGACCCGGCTTCGTAGGTACAACACGCCGTCGTTGACTATTAGCGAAAGTGGGCGGAGTCGACTGTTCGTAGCGATGGTGGCGCCCCCTCGCAGTTGTTTCAACTCGTCTTGAAATGCGTCGTGTTGTATTACGCGAACTATTATTTTCTCTGCGCGTTCGATGTATCTTCGGTCGATTGCGATGAATTTTCTCTCTTGAACGGTTGGCGTCGTTTTCTTCTTATGTGTCGGCGCCGATTTTTGATTTTTCTTCCAGTCGGGTTCCTTTTCGTTTTTCTTTCTTCTGTAGTTAATTCGGTCGGTTTTCGCTTGGCAGAGGTCGATGAACTGTAGTACTCTTGCCGTAGTCCGAATTAACTTGTCCCAGCGCGAAAATCGAGTGACGTCCGGTGCAGCTTCGGATATTGACGGCGTTTTCTTCGTGCTTATGTGGTGCACGCGTTCTTCCCCGGTGACTTCGGTTGCGGTTGCAGTTTCGGCGGGCCATTCTTCTTGTTTGTTTCGTAGAAACGGAGGCCCGGTGAACCATCTGTGGTAGCCGTAGAAGTCGTGCGGTGATATTCTTGTGGCGTCGTCTGCTGTGTTGAGCTTCGTGGGCACCCATCGCCACTCGTTGATAGTGCTGAGTTCTTCGATGGCGGCTATGCGATGCGCGACGAATGGCTTGAATGAGCGCGATCCCGTTCGCACCCAAGACAATACTGTTTTGCTGTCTGTCCAAAATGTCTTCGATTCTGGTTTTCTTGAGTGCTCTTCTATCACGGTGGCGGCCATTCTTGCTCCCAGGACTGCGGCTTGTAGCTCGAGGCGCGGTATTGACGTGACTTTGAGTGGAGCCACGCGTGCTTTCGCCGTGATGAGTGTCACGTCGACTTGACCTCCCGGCGACTCGGCCCGCCAGTAGAGTGCGGCGGCGTACGTGGTGGCGCTGGCGTCCACGAAGACGTGCAGCTGAAGTGAAGTGGCTTCGCTGTATCCTATGTAGGCTCGTGGTACTTTGACGCCTCGTAGGTCCTTCATGTGTTGTAGCCAGGTCGTCCACTGCTCTGCGAGGTCGGTGTCGATTTTCTTGTCCCATTCTGTGCCGCGTCGCCAAATTTCTTGTATGATCTGCTTTCCCCTGACTGTGACTGGTGATGCAAGTCCCATTGGATCGTAGATTGACATCACAATCTTCAAAACTTCTCTCTTCGTGGGTGCCTTATTTGCAAGTAGGTCCGATGGGATGCGCGCCAACTCGAGATTGAACCCCAATTCGTCCGATTGCGGGTTCCACATGAGTCCGAGTACTTTTTCTATTCTTGATCCGTCGTTGAGTGTTATTGGTTGTTGAACGCGTAGCGGTCCCTCGGTGAGTGCTTGCCTTATTCGATGCGAGTTCGACACCCAGTTGCGTAAGTCGAAATTTCCGTCGGCGTGTATTTTTCTTACTTGCGTCGACACTTCTATGGCTTCTTGTTCCGTTGTAAAGCTGTCTAGGTAGTCATCCATGTAGTGCGCTTGTACTATGGCGTTGACGGCGGTCGGTTGCGTTTCTTGATATCGCTCGGCGTTCTTGTTCTTGACGAAAATAGCGGCGGCTGGTGAACACGTAGCGCCGAAGATGAGTGACTTCATTCTGTATTCTTCCGGTGGTCCCTCTCTTCTTTCGCCGCGCCATAGGTACCGCAGTGCATCTCTGTCTTCCGGTCGGATCCCCACGCGCATGAACATTTCGGCGATGTCGGCTGTCACGGCGTACTGGTGTTGACGGAATCGCATCATGACTCCTATCAACGATCGAAGTAGGTCCGGCCCGGTGAGAAGGCAGTCGTTGAGTGAGGTGCCTCCGGTCTTCGCAGCTGCGTCGTGTACGATGCGTAACTTGTTTGGCTTCAACGGGTTGATGACTGGAAAATGCGGCAGGTACCAAGTTCTGTCTTCTGTTGATGTCGGCGGTGCTCGCTCGGCGTATCCCTTTTCGATGAGCGCGTCCATTTGTTCTATGTATTTTCCCCTTAGGCGTGGATCGCGGTCGATTTTCTTCTCTGTGGTGAGCAGCCGTCTGTACGCATTTTCATAATTATTGGGCATCTTGATGTCTTCTTTCTTCCAGAGTAGCGCGGTTTCGAATTTTCCATCTTCTTTTCTGTGGGTGTGTTCTTCTAGCATCTTGATGGCTTTCTCCTCTGGATCGGAATGCGGTTTTTTCTTTTCGATGTCGATTGATTCCAATGCGAAGTGATGACGAAGTAGTTCATCCATTTTCGAATCTTCTGTTTCTTCGGTGAGGTGGTTCACGAAATGAACCCGATGACCGATGGTGCGCGAGTCTGTGCCGTGGAGTACCCATCCCAGAGCCGTCTTCGATGCCACTAGCTGTCTTCTATTCCCCCGGCGGACTTCGCTGGCCAAGAGTAGGTGCCAGTTGTCTTGCCCGATGAGGATGGTCGGCCGGGCGTCTTCATAGGTGACGTGCTTCTCGATTCCCCGCAGGTGCTTGCAGCCCCATAAGTGTCTTTCTTCTATGGTTTGCGGTGAAATCTTCATTTGGTCGATGGTGCGCGCTTGCACCTTGAAGCCTCTGTTCTGTCCCTCGATCTTGAAGGTGACCCGGCGCGACTGTGTCTCTGGCAGCTTGGCGTCGATCGTTTCTATCTTCAGTCGCTCGGTAGGTCCCTTGGCTCCTATCTTCTCGGCGGCCCTCTCTTCTATAAGTGTGACTGTAGAGCCGTCGTCCAGTAGCGCGTACGTATCAAAATGTCCGCTCGGTCCCGTAATGCGAACCGGAATTATCTTCAAGTACGCGTCTCGCTTGCGGCTGCTGTGTGTGCTGGCCACCCTCTCGGTTTCTGTGTTGCTCGTGGCTGGTTCTTCTTCACGTTGCGACTTCGGTTTGTAGTGAAGAAGTGGGTGGTGTGAGCGCTCGCAGCCGTCCCTCTCGCACGCTCGCGTCTTGCATCTGTGCATCTTGCTTCTGTATTGTAAGCAACGGAAACAAAGGTTGCTTTTCTTCGCTATTTCCCATTTTCTATCTTGATCGGCGGTCTTGAACGTAAAGCAGGTGGCCGTCGAATGTCCGGATTTCTTGCATACCGGACATGGGAATCGATCTTCAGGCGCTCTTCTATTATGTGTCGCCTCGATGTTATGTGTTCGAAATTTTCTTGTTGTGGAGTTTTCTTCATTTCCAATGTACTCCGGTGGGGCGTATCTTGCGTTATTCTCTGCCTCGACTTCGATGAACTCGGCGAAAATCAATAGTTCCGGATCCGTCTTCATTTTTTCTTGCATTCGGTGATTGTTGACGTAATCGTTCCATCTGAAGCGGATAGTCGACGGCAGCTTTTCTATAATTGTCTTCATGATGTCCGGCGCACGTAGGTACTCGTTTTGCCCCAGTACTTGTAGTGCGACGACGCTATTCTTGATTTTGTTTGCAAAAATCACGATGTCCCTCGGCGAATCGGTGAGTCGGGGTAAATGGCGCAGCTTTTCTATTTCGGTTGCGGCGATGTTGTCCGGGCGGCCGAATCTGTATTCCAATTGCTTCATAATGTCGCCCGGCGTAGTGTTGCTTATTAGCATGCTGCCCACGGCTTCTCTTGCCTTCCCCTTGAGGGCTCTTCTTAATCTTGATGAGTTTTCCGCTGACGATAGGTAGGTTGCGGATTCTAGGTACGCCGCCCTGAAGGTGAGCCATTCTGTGTGCGCGCCGCTGAAGGGTGGCAGCTCTCCGACGTAGCGTGGACCCGGTGCAGGCGGTACGGCGGCGCGGACGGCGGCGTTGATTGCGACGGCCAGCTCGGAGACGTTCATTCTGTCTTGCTGGACCGGCGGTGGCGGTGGCGGCAACGTAGGGGCGACTTGTTCTTGAGCTTCATCAATGCGGGACGGCGGACTCTTCTTAATGCATGGCTTCAGCGCCCCTGGGACTGGATCTTCGGCAAGTGGTGCGACGGACCCACCAATCTGTACGGTGTCCTCGACGGTCGGTCTTCTATACGGTTCGGTGGTGCCGCCGTCGGGGGTGGTGTCCTTTGTCGCTGTGTCCAGCCAGGTGATGACGCGTTCTTCATTCTCGGTGCCATGTGTGCTATCGGTTTCTCTTCTATCTTCTATTTGCGGGTCCTCTTGGTCCTCATCTTCGCTATCTTGCTCTTCCATTCGTATCTTCGCCCTTATAGTCTTCTCTAATTCTTCATATAACGCCGCCAGGCGCTTCTTCTTTGCTGCTCTTCGTGCAGCTATCTTCGATTCTGTTCGGTGTGATGTCATTGCAGCTGATGGCGACTTCGGCGGTTGGTCGTGGCGCAGCGGGTACGGTGGCCGCGTCACGGTGTCGCTCCCTTCCGATGGCGCTCTTGACGGGGGTTGGACAGGATTCTCTCCTGCAGCGGTTCGCTCTGGCTCTTCGATGCTTCTCTCGATGCGCTCCTCTTCGGCCTGGTCCATTTTGTCAGCTTGAGATCTTGTTCGTGGCATTTTTCTTTCTTCAATCTTCTATAATTTTTCTTCAATTTTCTGTCTTCAATCTTCTATAATTGACCACGACGATCTTCTTTCTTCAATCTTCTATAATTTTTCTTCAATTCTTCCTCGGCGCTGTAGATCCGGCTCGATGCGACCAAAAAATGTACGGGACGCCGGGCTGTCGCAGTAGCGGACAGTTACCGACTCGTACTGAGGGGGTGGAGGAAGTTACACGCAGGAGTCTTGACTGTAGTGGACTGTAGTTTCGGCGAATAAAACCCCTGGTGTTCGGTATTGAAGAAATCGGTGGGCGCTGATAATGGATGGCCGGTGAGAGGAGGCTTCAGGTCCAGAGTGAACCGCTTGGTTGTTTCTTCCTGTTCCTTAGGGTAGGAGCGCCTGTCGCTGAATGCATGTCGGGGCATGTTCCGACTCGAATTTTATATGCTAGGACTGAGCTGGCCAGCGATCCATTACCTCACCCACGCTATACTTTATTTTTCATTTTCTCAAAATTTACAATAGTGCGAGCTTAAAACTAATTGTACATACATCGGGCATACATTTAGGCATATTTTTAACATAGTTATGTGTCCGTAAACACGATATTTTAGGTGTGGCGCGCAAAAAATAGGTCTCCGCAATATTTATACTTTCCCCCTCCATAGGGCTTCGCCCTGCCACGGGGCTTCGCTGCCCCACCCGCGCGCTCCGGGCGCGCCGGGTGGGGAGCGCAACATGTCTCAGAAAACGGTTCTATACAAACATGTTTTTTCTCCTACACAGTACATTTTTACACTTATTGATGCGATACCTATTTATTTACGTAGCCCTACGTGTTACCTATCTAATACAACAAGTTTCTTACAAGAATATTAATAAACAACAGCTCTACGGCCCTATAAAGTTTGCAAATTAAAAAGTCTTAAAAAACCTACTTATACTCGCTTAATGTCTAATTATCATACACCATTTTAAAGAAGAAGTAAAAACACATAAAATGACATCATTATTATAACAATTATACCTATATCCTATTGACTATTCATAAAAAACTATTCCCGATATTTTCCTTAATTACGCTTAAACTACTAACACGATTCATACAAAACTTCGATATATTATTCCTATAACTACCTACTATCTAATAAGACATAAAATAAATCAATCAAAACATAAAACATACTATTATCGAAAATTGTCAACTCAGGTAAAATCCTATAAGACGTGTGACAAGGACAACCTATTGTCTCCGTCCCTCCTATAGGTCGGAACTATCAGTATTCTGACTAGTTTCCCCGCGCCACCGCTTGGCGTCGTGGCGATCGTTTAGATAAAGTCTTATAAGATTATTGGAGAGAACGGGGCGGAATATCGCTCTGAACTATCAATTTTACAATGGTTTACTATGGGCAGAGCTATCTATTGTTGCGATATCCGACTCATTCTAATAAGACAACAAGGGAATGATATTTTTAATGCGTATACAACTAATTCATGTGAAATTATAGATACATTTTTATACATTGTTCTCGTATCGTCGTAAGTTCATTTTCTCTCGCTTCGGTCGTCGCGTACAACATCTTATAGTCTAGTCTACTGCATTGAAGAACCCAGGAAGCAATACTATTAGAGACCACCTGATCATAAAAATATATATCTATTCAATTTTCAGATTGTTCTTCCAAGTGGTGCCAGATGACCAGAGCTTCGATGAGGAGTACGCTGGTGTGTTCCACTTCCGGTAAGCATTGTTATTTATATTTATTTACATTAATTATATAATAATCATCACAGATAAGATAAAAGCATAAATAATGATGTTGGAAGTTCTTATCTCAAGTCTTAATACCTTTTAGATTACATCACAGACAATTACATTGAAGCTACTGAATGATATGTTGCATTAAAAAAGCAAGAATATTCCGGATTGACTGTTTGATTTTAGCAAAGATTTCTTTCTTATTCAACTTTAGCAATGTCCCACCACGACAGTCTGATTCGGATTGCACGGTGCTAACACACATGTGCTTTCAGAAGCAAGGACAAGCTAGAAAAAAATTATTTTTACGATCAGTCGAATCGAGTTGTAATGATATTGCTTGTCGTAAAATGTATGTGTATCAAACATTGACTTATTGCGAGATATGATTAATACACCCGTTTTCTAAGCCCACGAGATTGAATAACTTATTTTATTATTATAGTTTATAAACTACAATTGATATTTCTTTGTGCCGAATGTTTAATACTTGTAAAGGTATTTCGTTTGACATTTTGGGTTACCCACAATGCGAAGAGATGGCGCTGCCTTGCAGCCTGCTAGAAGAAATTCGACACGACCTTAGGGTCGCGATAGCATAATCGGCCAGTGCGTCCGCCCGGATAGCTGAGTGTGCGGGTTCGAGCCCCTTTTTTTTTCTTTTGAGAGCTGTTGGTCGCAGATGACCTTTACAGCGTCACCTGGTTGGGGACGGCGAGATCCTAAGGGGACCTCAAGCCGTGGAGAATTGTCAAGTGCCTCTAGAGGTATTCCAGGCGGATGGCATCTCCCTACCGGGGGAGTCTCCTCTCCGTCTGGAGCCTCTAGACCACTCGAACCTGAGGGGGTCGGCTCAACTAGAGGGCATCTCTGAGACTCGAACCTCGGCTCTAGTTAGCCGTTGTCGTGATTCGAGTCCCATCTGCTGCCTTGAACTTATTTTTTTTTATATTTAAACATTTAAAAAATGATTTATGTTGTTTCTTCCTTAGTTTCTGGCAATACGGCCGATGGGTTGACGTAGTGATAGACGACCGGTTGCCCACGTACCGTGGAAAACTGGTCTTCCTACATTCTTCAGAGAGGAATGAATTCTGGAGTGCATTATTAGAAAAGGCGTATGCCAAGTGAGTACTTATATTAGTGAAATAAAAGCTTGATGTGTTTATAAACTATAGTAGCCTATATGCGAAATTTATAGTTATAATGTCATGCATTATGTACAGCATTTGTACTTTGTACAGTCATGGATGTCTAATATGTATTTTCTATATAAATATGCGTTTACATATATGTACAATGTATGTATTCTATCCGTACCCTAGTATCCCATAGCACCAGCCTTACAGTGCTTACTTTGGGGCTAGGCTTATTGGTGTGAGTGTTGGAAATATTTATTTATTTTTATTTTATTTGTTTAGATTGCACGGATCTTACGAAGCCCTAAAGGGTGGTTCCACATGCGAAGCAATGGAGGACTTCACCGGTGGTGTTACGGAAATGTACGACGTCGCAGAATTACCACCGAACTTTTATACTATTCTATTGAAGGCGTACGAGAGGAACTCGCTTATGGGATGCAGTATCGAGGTAATTCATACAAATATTAATAATGAAATAAATAGTTCAAGTTTATAACATTTTCAAGAGTTGTATTATGCATCCAATTTGAATAAAGATATTTTGACTTTTGACAATATAGACAACAATGCTGTCAAAATGGCAAATACAAATAGTCATGTGATGCCGACACTTAACTTGGCTATTCGTGTTTGCTATTTGTTAACTTGAGATCAGTCTCTCCTTTTCATTTCTCATGAAGCATGATAAGGACAGAATGTTGTCAAGTTAACAAATAGCAAATCCGAATAGTCAAGCGAAGTGCCAGCATGAGGTGCTAGCAATAATTACTATATTATTTGGCCAACAAAGAGTACATATTTATATTATTACAATAGTAATAATTAAAATAAGGCAATAAACAAATCATAAAAAATGGATATATTTTGCCGTTCTTACAAACGATTTAAGTATTTTTTTTTTCATTTATGTATTTATTTGTATTCAGGCATCGTAGGCCCATACAAATATATACCTTATAGTCTAACATAGATATGAAATATAAAATAATAACAAATTCTAAATAACACTGCTATAAGGTTGTTTATCCTAACATTCAGTAATTTAAATATTTATCTTACCATAATTTTTACTTTTCATAATTTTTGTTATATTCTTCAACAACTAAATTGTACGTAACTTCGTCTAAATGATGTAAGTGTATAGATCTTTCGGTCTGTAGAAACTTAACTGATTTTTTTATAATAATAAGGTGTCATTTAATTGATTTGTTTAAAACTGTATATTTCCCAAATGCAAATTAATAAAAAATCCAATTTTGGAAACCTTTAGGTTAGGTTATAGGTAGCGGGCATACTTCTTAAGTAAAACCACAGACAAACTGCTCAGGCTTCCTTGTCTATGGTCGTTGCTCAAAAAGTTTTCCCGGGAATATACAAGGGGGCCAATCGCCCAACGAGATTGCTATGGCTATCGCTACCGTATCCGATTTCATTTTGTTATTTCTGATGGCCGAAGGTTTTCAAATACCTCACACTCATTTTCTTTAATATTGTTATTACCAATGCAAAAGAAAAAAAACGAGCGAGCCTTACATTAGTCGCGTATGATGTGTAACATTTGAAACCTCACCTTATATTAGTTAAAAAAAGAAATAAAAACTACTACAAGAGGAATAAGCCATTTGAACATTATGTTTAAAAATCAAATCTAATAGAGCGCGCTTTCGCGACTTCCTGTTACACACTTCCGTCCGTTTTCACGAAATCACTCCCACAAATTGCAAGAAAGCGAGAGGAAAGATGTTACACATCAAAAAAGAGTGCGAAGCATTTCCAAACGTTCGACGGTCAGAAATAGCAAAATGTTATTTTGAGCGATAGCGATAGCCATAGCAATGTAGTTAGGCAATTGGCCTCAATTGTTTTTTTTTATTAACTATAAAAACATGTCATTAAAATATTATTCCTTTTTATCATTCAGCCGGACCCCAACGTTCTCGAAGCCGAAACTCCCGTAGGTCTAATCCGTGGTCACGCATATTCCATCACTCGGGTTAAATATGTCGACATAGAAACACCTGGGAGAGCTGGAAAAATACCGTTGTTGAGACTACGGAACCCCTGGGGCAACGAGGCCGAGTGGAACGGACCCTGGAGCGATAAGTAAACAAAATTCTGATTCCTTACTTCAATCACACTAATATTATAAAGGCGAAAGTTTGTGAGTGTGTGAGTGTGTATGTTTGTTTCTTGACGTCTAAACGGCTGGAGCGATTTTAGTAAAATTTGGTATGGAGTTAGCTGACACCCTGGATTAACACATAGCTACGTTTTACCGCGGGCAAATATCCCTAATACACCGCGGGTAACACCGCGGTGCACAGCTAGTTACCTATAAAGGCGAAAGTTTGTGAGTATGTGAGTGTGTATTTTTGTTACTTCTTCACGTCTAAACGGCTGGAGCGATCTTAATAAAATTTGGTATAGAGTTAGCTGACACCCTGGATTAACACATAGGCTACGTTTTACTGCGGGAAAATATCCCGAATAAATTGCGGGTAACACAGCTAGTTACAAATAAAAATAGCTTTATTTATATATCTTGGTACACTACATCATACAACTTCTTTATTCATATGCTATTTATCAAAAAAAATGTACATACAAATATTTAATTAAGTATATTGATAGAGAAATAGGAATAGGCATGGTGTAGCTGGTTTCTGTTAGATTTAAATTATAATTTTATCTCTCCTAGAAACGTATTACTATTTCATCACAAAAAATAATTATTCCTTTCGCTAACATTTCATCATCATCATCATCAGCAGCAGCCTATGAATGTCCCCTCTGCTGGGACACAGGCCTACTACTTAATAGTAGCTACATAGCCTAATGGCTATGACCCACAACGCGGGCCCAGTCCGGATTGGTAGGCGCTAACGACTGCAGATGCAGCCGGGACCAACGGCTTAACGTGCCTTCCGAAGCACGGAGGAACTCGAGATAGAAGATTCTTGGTCACCCATCCAATGACCGACCACTGCGAAAGTTGCTTACCTTTAACGATCGCAGCCGAACGCGCTAACCACTTGCGCTATCGAGCTCCAAAATTTAATAACGACATTTAATAACTATTAAAAGTAATAATAATTTTGGGCAGATCTCCGGAGTGGCGTTTCATCCCAGAATCTGAGAAGGAAGAGCTCGGTTTAACTTTCGACGATGATGGAGAATTCTGGATGTCCATGAAAGACTTTGCACAGCACTTCGACAGGTAATATCTTTTTACATATGTCTATAATACATCATACTAATATCATAATTTATAATAATATCAAAAAGCCTTCGTATAAGAAAAATATTAATCCAAACTAACGTATTTCAGAGTGGAGATTTGCAACTTGAACCCCGACTCTTTGGACCCTGATGAATGTCCCGAAGGATGCACAAAGAAATGGGAGATGTCCGTCTTCGAAGGGGAATGGGTTAGAGGTTAGTACTGGATTACTTTATTTAAAGAAAAATAAATAAATATTTGTAACACTCACAGCAATTAGCTAGGCTAATAGGTTATTTGAATGTATGAAAAATAAAATACCAATTATTGACAATTGTATTTAACAAGTATGTTGGGAGCGATTTCAATATTCTGACAAAAAATTTGAGTTGATATAATTATTAAAACTCATGAAATAGAAAAGTATTTTTTGATCTATTATCACGTGACCGAAAATTCATTGAATGAATTGGCAGAACCTATAATGACGTCACCTACTTGTAAACATTCTGTGGATGATGAAGACGCCATATTTGCTAGAGGCACGCATATAGTTACGACCGGGATTAGAGGCATAGAATACTTTTTATCCCGAATAAATTTCAGATTCCTGAGACATGCTCAAAAAACTAACTATGGCAAAAAGTCCATAAAATAGTGTGATGCACTATTCTGTACATCGTGAATATTTGCCATAAAATTTGTTTCAGGGACTTAGAATGAGTAGTGAGCCTGAAAAATATTGAAATGTATTATCATTTTTGAATTTTTACGACTTTTGTCTAACGCTTTTTCCTGTAGATTTGAAATCGTATTTAAGAAAAGCGGCTCCATTAAATGCAATGAATTGAAGTCTGAAAATTTGTTTATAGATTTTTTTTAGGGTATCATTAGCTTTAATTTCATTAGTAGTATACTCTCTAAAAAGTTATTACAATTCAAAGCACGCAGAAGTTCGGTAATGTGATTTGATACAACACGTGACTATTAACACAAATAATAGATGGCGCTGTTTGATATCAACATCGTAAGTATTGAGGTTTGTGTTTGCATAAGTTTCAAGATATATAGAATTCGCCGAGTTTGAAAACAGTAAACTTTGGATTGATAGTAAAGAGGATTCTAATTGTGTTTCACTTGTTCCAGGCGTTACCGCTGGTGGATGCAGAAATTTTCTGGAGTCTTTCTGGAGGAACCCACAATATACAGTCACTTTAACCGACGTCGACGAAGGAGATGACGACAATAAGTGCACAGTGAGACTTTTTAAGTTTTCTAGAACGTTCTTAGGGGAAAAACATTTTTTTTATTGCAAACAAGCGTAAGGCCCGCCTGATGGTAAGCTGGCACAATTGCCTATAGACGCTTGCTATAACAAAAATTTCACTTTCTCATTCCCCTCTCTCGTGGAGCCCTGGAACTTTACTCACAGACAGAAACACAACACCACCAAAAGGTAGTGTTACTTCTGTAAGATGCAGGTTACTTCCCCAGATGCTCCTATTCGTAAATTAGGAAAATTGCGCAGACAATTTTAATTAATTATCATCAACCTATAATTATCCCCACTGCTGGGCCACAGGCCTTTCATGGAATAGAGAAATTGAGCCGGGACATGCATGACTCACTAGGGTCCAATGCAGATTGGTGATGGTGGTGTCACTTTTGACAACTCTTGAATAGTCCCAAAAAATTTCAATCCAAGACAATTACAAAAAGCATACATTAGTAGGGTACCCTGAATAGTGTACTCTAGCCATTTAGATTGAAATTAACTCCATGAAACAATATACAATAAAGGCAGCAGTGTTTTCTCGACATTTAGCTTGGAATAAGTCCATATTGAAAGCATTATTTATCATCGTAGCCCTAATGCAAAAGAAAACGCATTTGAATAGTTACAATATTTTTTCAAGAAATGACACAATGACAAATACAACGTGTATATGGAGCATTTAATAGTGTTTTCTGGGCATTTAACTTCGAAAAATCGTTTATGAAACAGATAATCGTTGCCCTAATGCAGAAGAACTGTCACACGCAGCGTCACCAGGGACACGAATGCCTCACCATAGATACTAATGCCTCATCTGCACTGCCGAACTACGGCCGAGTGCCCAAACCTTTACACGTTCACTTCAATATATTAGCGCCTCTTATAAATTAACTGAGAAAAGTTTAGTATCATAGATGGCGCTGCAGTCGAATTATAGTATTCCTTACACCTTAACTTCAATATAAGAAACCTGCAAAAAGGTGTTTTTGTAACCAATACAGCAGTACCCCTAGCACGAACCGAACTCGAATTCGTAACTTTTGCGAGTCCGTAATGTCATTGTCAAATCTGTACTGATTTTTAGTTCTCTTTACGTACTTTATGTCACTGCTGTTCAAGTTTCCATACAAAATTTGACATTGATATATCGGTTTGCAAACTATTCGAATTCGATAATGGTTCGTGCTAGGGGGGGGACAGTAATCAATCTTGAAAAATTAAGGAAACTTATCTTACAACTCTACCCGATAGATGGCGCTTTTAGGAATTGTCTCACAATTTTATCATTAGCCTATTAATGTCCCCACTGACCCTCCCCATTCAATGACCATGACCCACTACGCGAGCCCAGTGCTGTGCACTTGCGATACTATGGTGCATCCTGAATAGTGTTTTCTTGACAGAATTTCCTTTTATAACAGATAATCGTAGCGCTAATGCAGAAGAATCGTCGCTCGCAGCGTCACCAGGGACTCGAATGCCTCACCATAGGGTTCGCGGTCTACCGACTGCCTGACTACGGCCATGTGCCCAAACCATTAGACGTCAACTTCTTCAAATACAACGCTTCCGTTGGGAGGTCGCAGGCTTTCATCAATCTGAGAGAAGTCAGCGCTAGGTGAGACTAATTTTCTTTCAAAATCTTAACTTAAGCTCCTTAAGAGAGTCTATTTATTCCAAAAAATTTACCTACATCATCCCTTTACTAGGCACGTAGGTAACTAATTGATAAGAATTTGATGTAGACATTTAAAACGCATTTTTATTGATTTTTCATGATAAAGAAATTTACATCAATGCGAATTGGTGTTCTGAGATAAATACATATTAGCCTTAAGCTACATCATACCTTAGCTCTTATGCCAAGATACTCGTATGCGTTGCGCCATATAAATAAGAATAATTTCGAAGATATTACTACGGAAATTTCAAATTCATTTTGATAAATTTGTCATACTAAAATGAAAATGATTTATGTATAGATGCTCCATTGTAGAAACGAATCGTAAACGACGACTCGGAACATTCTATCCCGCGCACAGTGTTCCTGATAGGATTTCTAGATCTATGAAATTCGATAATCGATAGTTACACGGTAATTTTTATTATTCACTAAAAATGGGTTACAAATGTCAAAATCGACATTATCATAATAATCTAATATCAATGTATGTACTTATGGTAGGAGAGCCCAAGCGAGGATTTTCGGATTTACTCGAGCGAGAAATACTCGCACCATACCTGAGCTTTCTATGTAGGGCAGAACGTCAATGGCAGCAAACAAAAATACAATAAGCTGCCATGGATTTGGTTGCGACCAAATCGTCAGTCTTTTAAATAGAAGCTACTGGAGGGCTCACGTAACGGCTCTGAGGACGGGAAAAATATAGATCTGCCAGTTTGCATGGTGTAGGGGTTGCCGTAAGAAAGAAAGAAAGAAAATTGTTTTTATTGCTGACATCACATTACATACACATTAAATACAAGCATACATATAACATAAAGAATAACAAAAAGTACAAGTAAAATAATAAGTAAAAAACAACAACAAAAACAGCTGCCGACAGTAAATGTGTATTTTATTTGATGCCAATACTGGAATGGCTCAGCATACACAGCAGGTAAAATTCCTGCTGCAATGGTATTCTGCCATACCCAGAGCAGTAACATCACAAAAAACAGAAAAAAGAAAAATACAAATTAGATACATCCTAATTACAAAACAAAAAGAAAAGAAAATGGAGTATACGACAGAACACATACCAATATCTGTGCCGGAAATTATCTAGTTTATAGTGACACGTAAACAATACAAAAACAAACGATAAAGTACCGTACGATAAAGGTAAAATGAAAAACAAAAAGTATTGGAGCGCTTCAGACATGATGTTACGTGAACCCTCTAACTATCTCCTATTCAAAAGACTGGCGATTTGGACGCAAGCAAAAGCCATGGCAGTTTATTAAAAAAATGTTTTTTTTGCTGTCGCTGCCCGTCGTCGTCGTTCAATCCTACATTGGAAACTCAGTTATGGTGAGAGTACATCTCAAGGTGCAAAGCCCCCCCCCCCCCCCCCCCCCCCATATATTAATCTGCTGCGCTTGAGAAAATCTAAAAATCCCCATTTGGGCTCCCCTACCATTACGGGGTATATCTTTTGAGAGGTCATCTGTCTATTGATGTTATCCTTTTTATTTGACGTGATCATTTTTTGTTTTCATTTCGTGCATGCGAATTGTTTATGTAAAATTGATACTCTTCTTTAGCTCTCCATTGCGATTAGAACTGACTCAATATGGACTCCATTTAAATCGCAAGTTGAATTATTTGTTTGTAGTAAAAATATTATTTATATAGAAAAATAGAGCAATTACAATGCATAAATAAAAATCGAAATGAAGTCAGTTTCTCTTAAAAATAATAAATGTGGTAAAATTTACTTATTGAAGGGCAAAATTAAAATATAACATAATTTATCTATGCATTTAACTGTTACATTTAAAATCTTTATTCTTCCCCTCTATACTCTGTGCACGGAAATGAGATAGTAGAGCGCTATCATTATCACAGAAAGAGCCATAAGAATAGAGTGGAGAAGGCGGCTCTGAAAGTTTCCGTCTAGTAGAAAGAGAAAGAAGATGAGAGACCGCCAGCTATCTCTTGTGACGCATGCGCAGTCGTCTGTCAGTTCAACAGTTGGTCCAGAGTCGCATCGAAATAGTAAGATGCTTACGGTTGCCAAAGCGCATGCGTGATTAGAGAGAGAAAGCTAGTGGTCTCACATCTTCTTACTCTGTCTATTAGAGTGACACTTCCACTTGTAGTACAGTCTATATCTCTCCTACTCTATTCTTATACCTCTATGTTATCACACCATCGCTTACAAAAGTCAAGACCGGAAAACAGCGTCACACGAGAAAGTGGGCTGTCATTGGACGGATTATTAACGACAATACAATCCAGCCAATGACGAAAAAGCTTTCGTCGGTACCATGCTAGTTTCAGTAAATACAGTATAGAAAATATTTTTTCTTAATTACTCGACTGGAATGAATGGATGGATATAGATTAATGGACTGCATTGGTACATGCATAGAGAATGGATAGAGCTTTCTCTGTTCAACTGTAAAATAAGACTAGGCAAATAGGTGTGAGAAAGACGAGCTATCGTACGGCCAGTTCAGCTGTGTAACAGTAAAATATGTGGAACATGATGGGATCGAACGCCTTTTGTACCATATTTCTATGCAATAAATTATAATTATTAATAGTTCGTACTTAATGGTTACATCATAGCTGCCTCTGTATTCTTAAGAGTTGATGTCATGCAGGATTTACACTACCCAGTTTTAAAGGACTCTTACCCTGACGAAGGGTGGTGTAATGTGAGTTACGGAGTAAGGGACCCGATCTAAGGCGATCGGCGCTCTGTAAAAATTGCTTACCCTAGGGCCCACGCCCACCCTTTCGATTGGACCCTTAATATTGGCTAGTGTAAACTTACAGGTATAAGAATAGAGTCCCCTACTCTAGACTAGACTCTACTATAAATGGAAGTGTCCCTCTAATAGAAAGAGAAAGAAGATGAGAGACCGCTAACTTTCTCTCTCTAATCACGCGCATTGGCAACCGTAAGCATCTTACTATTCCAATGTGATGCCATTGGATGCCATGCGTCACAAGAGAGAGAGATAGCTAGCGGTCTCTTATCTTTCTCTTTCTACTAGACGGACACTTTTAGAGCCGCCTTCCCCACTCTATTCTTATACCTCTATGAGTGTAAATCCCGTTTGTCTATGGGTAGATGCTAACGACTACAGACGCGACCATAGACATCTGCTTTACTTGCCTTACGAAGCACGGAGAAGCTCGTGACAATAAATTTTTGGTCACCATCTCATAACCAGCTGTTGAGAAAGATGCTTAACTTCCACGATTGCATGCCTAATGCGCTAATCACTGCGCAATCGAATCTGCCAATACAACAACATAAAAGTGGTTATACTTTTGAAGTTAATAACCAATCATTTAAAAAAATGGTATAAAAAATGTTGTATGTTTTCAAAATTATTCTTAACAATTCGGACCATTTACAGGCTTATTTTAATAAATGATTGGTGTCTGTGAAAACGTAATAAAGAATTAATTAATATCCAAATTAACATTTAAACACTTTACTTTAAGGTTCAAATTCGAGCCCGGCAGCTACGTCATAGTGCCTTCCACTTTCGACCCCAATGAAGAGGGGGAATTTTTGCTACGTGTATTCTCTGAGAAGTGCAATAATATGACGTAAGTTTTATTATGAATTCAATAATTTATATATTAACACCCGAAGGAAACCCTTTTTTTATCATGTTAAAAAGGTGGCAAATTAGCCTAAAGCCTTATTATTAATATGGCTTGTTTGATGTTAAGCGGCGACCATAGCCTTTAGACACTTTCGATATAAAAATATCACTCCAAATGTCGCTTACCCTTACTTGAAATTTTTATAAATATACTAACTTGATTAATTCTAACTGATACATACACGTATTCTACAAATATTAATACCTAAATACATCCGCACTTTAACACACAGACTCACATAAACACACACACACACACACATAATTTCATACATTTCATATTAATTTATATATTACACATAGATACCTTGCTTTTAAAATAAATTGCTACCGATTGGCCTTTTCATTTATGAGATACGTATTTAGTCTAGTATTTTCATGGGGGTTTTGGCGCTGAATGCTGAAATACAGGCCTTGCCTATTTCAGCAGCAGAGGTTAATAAATTATATTTTTTGCGTAACTAGTGCTAAGTTTGTTACGAAATCTTATTGTACTGATTTTTTGGCCAATAAATCTTATTATTATTATTAATCCCCTACCCCGTGGAGCCCTGAAACCTTACTCACCGGCAGAAACACAACACTACCAAAAGGTAGTGTTATTTACTGTGTGTGTCTTTTGTAACGTGGAGGTCACTTTCCCAGGCGGGCGCTTTAATTCTAGCGGAAAATCCGCTATGCCCTACGTTTCTCAAATAATTTCTTACCGATTTTAAAATGTGCTTAAATTTTGCCTAATGTAAATATTTTTACGTAATAAAGTATCAGAAATAGATTAAATAAAATAATATATGCTAAAACTATGGTGACATATAAATGTTAAGAAAGTGAAAACTATTCTCGTCTAGTTACTATAGTAAATGTTTACGAAATTCGTATGTTAATCGTAAAATTTTGTTTTCTAGTGAAAACGATGAGGACCTCGGCATGGGAGATGTCGATGACAGAGTGAGTACATAATTTATGAGTCATTTATTAGTTTTATTTTATTTATATTTGGACGGATAGAAATATACAAAATGATCCTTCCTTACTTATTGGTCATGTAAGGAATTAAAAAAATATATGGGCGTCGCCTTTTCAACTATCATGTATATTTCTATCCGTTACCCTTCGACGGCATGTTTACAAGCAGGTAACGTCAATTTAGGCTCCGCCAATCCCAGGCGTTTTCGATCACGTGACAATAAATAAAAAATACTTTCTATTTCATGCTTTTATTTATCTTTTAGTACGCAAAGCTCAGTTTATTACAGAACCCCTTTTCCATATTGAGTGTTAATGTGGTAAAGAAACATTCAGCTGTGCTAAGGAATTGTCATTGATGTAAAAGTTTAGAAAATTATTATCAACTACTTTTTTTGTAAGAATAGTGAAATCGCTGCCAGTATTCTTGTCAAATACACATTAATTGAGGAGCTCGATAGCGCAAGTGATTAGCGCGTTCGGTTGCGATCGTTGAAGTTAAGCAACTTTCGCAGTGGCCGGTCATTGGATGGGTGACCAAAAATTTACTATCTCGACCTCCGTGCTTCGGAAGGCCTTGGTCCTGGCTGCTTCTACAGTCGTCAGCACTGGGCCCGCGGGGTGGGTCACGGACCAATTTCTCTATTCCATCCATAGGGAAGGCCAGTGCCCCAGCAGTGGGGATGTTAATAGGCTGATGATGACACATGTCAACAATAGGGTATTTGACAAGTTTTAGAAAACGATCTCACGTTATTGACTAATATTTATGGAGTTGTGTTGTGTATTTATAACCAAATCAAATAGTAAAAATAACCAAATCAAAAACTCCATTTTCAATTTGCCGCGAAAACGTTTCTCTGGACAATATTTTAAGTTATACAAACGTCAAACGATCAAATGTAATGTCACTTTAACCGGAAGTTTACTTGCGTGTGACGTAATTTTAGGCTCTGCCAATCCCAAGCGTTTTGGGTCACGTGACAATAGATAAAAAAATATCTTTTTCGTGGGTTTTTAGTAAAATTATGAATATTTTTTTTGTAAAAATAGTAAAAACCCTTGCCAATATTGATTCTAAACACAGATACTAACAATTGGCACAAATTTATTTTTAATACTCTCAAATACCCTATTGGTACTTTATTTTTCTTACTGCCAAATAGCCTAGTACTAGTGTTGTAAATACAATTTATTTATTACTTAATTACACAACGTTTAGGTGAAGGAAATAACACCGAACCCGGAACCGACGGATCCCATTCGCGATTTCTTCAACCGTTTAGCCGGTGCCGATGGGGAAGTAGATTGGCAAGAACTGAAAGAGATTCTCGACTACGCCATGAGGGAAGGTAAGTCGATAGTCGATAAATACACCGCACTATTGCACACACTTTATATTTAATTTTCTTTTCAGCACTATCTATTTGTATAAGGTCCACTTGTAGCAAATTCGCTAAATCTCGGTTCAACTAAAACCCACAAGAAAAATGTCTATTTGACATTGATGTATGGGCTAAATCTAGGTTTTGGTTAAATTGAGATTTAGCAAAATTGCTGCTAGTGCATCTAAATGCAAAAGTTACTTTGATTAAAATTTGGCCAACGAAAGAATGCGAGCCCGACGAGTAGAGTCATTTCCATATATTAACATGATAAAGTAGACTCTAGGTGTAGTCATAATCATAATCAAAATCATTTATTCAGTGTAGGCTGTTAAAAGCACTCATGAATGTCTAGACGCTACGCCATCGGTTCGTAAATCTACGGCGGGAGACCTTGTACTGAAAAGACAAGAAACTCAGCAAGGGCCGTATTTTTCTCCCTGTTTTATAATTTACAGAGTCGTCAAGTTGAAAAATGACTTCAGAGATGATTCATGAAGTCACCTTTCATTACATAATGTGAAATTATACATTAATTATTCACCTGCATTTTGATTGCTGTGTCATACAGTATAAATACAAATAGTGTTATTTATATTACGTTTAACTAGACATTGGTGTCGATTCCAGCATGATTCTCTAAACCTAAACTTAAATTTGACAGCAGTATATCCTTGTCATTCTCTATACAGAATGAAAACGAAAGACTGATGTTAAATTTAGTTTTAAGTTTAGAGAATCACGCCAGAATTATCACCATTTACATCTTAAATATTAAAGTATTTATGACAGACTCATCTCCGTAGTAAAAAAATGATCCGAAAATAAACTCTAATTTTAACGCCATAAGGACCTGACACTACATGCCTGGATCGCATTCTTTCATTGGTCGCACTGTAGGTTAAGTAAAGTTACTTAAAAATATGCGTAAATTATACATCATTAGAATTAACGATTTATTAGAGTGAACGATTCATGTTATATACATTGAAATCGCCCTAGCAATAAGAGCTATATTCGTATTGAAGATTATCCACTGTCACTGTTATATTCATAACATCTTAGTTCTTGAAAAACAGTATTTTGTCAATCACGACAAAAAAAAATTATAAATCTCGATACTTTCATATAAGCTTTAAAAAACTTTTTATTCTTTACTTTTGACTCGCTTATCAACAAAATCCGAAGAATTAAAATTCGTTATAAAAAATCTGGCTTAAATCAATATACCTAGCAAATGCGTAAACCACTTGCGTATATTGTCAATAACAATGTGTTGCTTTATCGTTATATTAATTTCTGACTGTTTAACAAAGTTTAATATAAAACAGTCAAAATGTTTATAGTTTGATTTAACAGCGAATTCATAACAAAAACTACCATTTTAATATGTTTTTGTGTTACGCAAAATCTTTATAAACAAATAATTACTCTCATTGAGAAATAAACGCTTAACAGTTCTACATTTATTTTGACTTAACTTCTGGTCATACAAGTATATTACTTAGATTCGACAAAATTACACATTTTAACATGGAAATACAGATTTTTATTTTAGTATATCTTTTCTAGTTTTTTCTGTTTCTGCATAACAAAATATAACTTTTAAAATTATTCGCAAAGCTTACCGTATGTTAAATTCGAAATCTATTTTAAAGCCTTTTAGCGCGATTTGTGCTTTTACATCAATATTTATTTATAGACAATTTTTTTTATTATCATAAGTTTTTTGGTCATACCTTTTTATTTCTAATGCCCATTTTTTGAGCTTTCTCTGTGATACGCTTTAATTGTGCCGAGTTAAAAGCTTGTCTTTGTCGTTTCGTTGCGTACCGTGTGAAGCTGTTATATAATATGTAAGTATACAATAAAATATAATAGAGTTAAACACTAACTAGACATATGAATAGAGTAAAACGCTAAAAAGACTAAATGAGCTGTTTATTTAATAATAATGGATTCCATTTGAGGCACGAATGTCTAAATTGATGTTGACTGCAGTTCGTCTTATCTCTTTCTATCGTTCAAAGCAGAAAAAAGAGATAAAATCAAATGACTTCACATTCAAAGAATTTATTTATGTTTGTTAAAATTATATAAATATATTGTCGTTGTAAATAGTTTGCAAGTACTTGATACGATGGAGGAAGAAGAAGAACTGTACTAATATTAATTTGAGACATTACACAGTACAATTCAATGAAGGAAGGGATGGTAGGTGGATACAATATCCTTCCTAACTGTATACAAAATAAGAGCTATATTCGTGGTGAAAGTGTATCCATTATCCCATGACTGTACAGACAACGGCACTTCAGGCAAACAAAGCACAAAATGTAAAATAATAAAATCAATTATTAACTTAACAATAATACTAAAAATAATTAGATTTTTTTCAATAGCTTGAAGAACTGGTGTGTGTGCAACAATTTTTTTTTTCTTCAATGGCTTTGATATCTTACACTTTTTTTATATGTTTTTTAATTTAATAGCTTATTTATAAGCGCTGCGTCGTCACAGTGTTTTTTGCAGCAGCAAATCTTAAAAACATTCTGTCGTTGTTTTGGTGGGCACGATGTACTGTGTTTTTTATTTATATCGGCATGTTAAAGTTTGATATTGATATATTACCGATAAATATATTAATATATGTTATGATTCTTTTGATCTGTGCTTTTGATTAAAAGAGACGTTTATTTCTATAACTTTCTAAACCATTACAGTTTTTTTTTAAGTTTATTCGCTTCGCAACCGCTAGTCATACTTCGAAAATATGTTGTTTTTTCTTCGTTATTTTTATTTTATTTTCGTGTTAGCTCATTTATCTTCATCAACTTATTGCACATAAGAACATTTATAATTTTCATATAGATCTCAATAACAATTACAGTATTCTTTTCAAATAAACAGTACAACGTATTAACAGTAAATTTTGTTTAGTTATAAATCAGAGGTCACACTTCGTCAAACCGTCATTATAATGCGACATCTAGCAAATTATATAAAATTTGACATATATAAGATTGACGTGCATACTTTATTAATTAAGTTTTTGATTCCGTGGCGTAGGTATACATTGAACGTTGGTTTAAACTGTACGTCTTCTGGGCAACAATCAGGGTATCTTAAAAAAATAACCTAAACTAACCTTTTTACGAACACTTCAATCAACAAATACTCTAGATAAAACCGATCAGCACCCCAAAAATGGCCGAGCGAATAACGCCTCACTTCAAAAGTGCAATTTTATACGTATCTAGGTGTCTCAGTTTTGTGTTTAAAATGGGTGAAAATACGAAATCCCATGCTATCGGCCAGAACATGTTATATTAATACATGCTACTCGTATAAACAAAAAATATTGAAACAACATTTTTTATTATTTGAAGCCAACCCACAGGCCTACTTTGGTGAATGTTTGCCAAAAAGGTGTTAGCTTTAGAATAGTGAATCTTTTCATCCAAAATGGCACAAGCAAAATGCCACATTTTTTGGAGTTTACTCCTTAAGAATCGATTTGCATATATAAGGGGCCCGTATGAGAAAAATGTGAGGAGTAAAATCTATCGATGAATGACCTCGTTACGTTTTTGGTGCGCATCCTATGTCGCGCAACTTTGCCAAACAAAGATGGCGGATTGACATTAATAAACGTTTTAAAATCTGAACTGAATTTAGATATTGTTTCTGATAGAGCAATGGGGACAACGAGGTATGGTACAACCATTGTTGCGGTATTTTCAAGATTCGTGAACCACGTATCTACGAACGTCCATGTGTCTTATTTTAGTTACCATAAAACACTTGTCACTGTAATTAATAATGCAGACAATGTTGATTTAATTAATATTTAAAAAAAATGATAATAGTCTGATAATAATAATTACATAATTTATCAACATTCCTAATGATATATTTATGCACATCTGAAATTGACTATTGTAAAAAGTTTAATGTAAAATATTTCGTCGATTACTTATAATAAATTTATATGAAATGAATAAATATATATTTATATATGTATATTATTTTCATTAATTTGTTAATTTACCCTTTCATACAGTATCAATCTTTTTTAAGTTAAATAAACTCTTTTTGCGTCTGGTTAGACTATCGAACTTAAGGAGTAAACTCCAGTCGTGCGTCGGAGCTGACACACGCAATTTTTTTTTCCTGCTTTTTTAGTTGTATAATGTGGATGAATATAGAATAATTTAAATGTCTTGTCTCTTTCTACATTTATTACGCAAGAAATCCGTGACATCTTAAGTGAATGTTAACATAATCAAATCCGTTGATATTTAAACTTGATCCATACAAAACGATGACTAAAGTTAAACCTGGTACAAAAACGATTCTGTCGCCTTTGTTTCTTAAGAAGAAGACAGAGAGAGCATTATGTTCAAACTAAGACTAACTTTACTGCGAATACGTCTTTTCCCTTTTGAATAGTATAGTGAGTCGTAGCAATATTGCTGCCACATTTGAGTTTTGTTTCAATAGGTAAAATAGGCGTTATCAAGGTATTGTTGAATGAAGTGTGAACAGGTTAAAAAATAACTTACAATCTGGATAGGTTTAATTACGTTATTACTAAGTATTGTTATTAGTACTTTATTACGTTACTTAAGCCAAAACCGACCTTAAATCGGAGTGTAAACGCGTATAATTACTACCGGCAACAGAGCTGGCCATGCGGAAGGGCGGCGCTTACGACGGCGGTGGAGGGGGGATGAGAATGGATGGTGGAGGGGGAGGGATGACGTCATCGTCCCCCCCTCAGGAGCAGAGCTGTCTGGAACAACTGCTGTGCGCCCTGTGCGCGCCGATATGCAAGGAGATAGGCGTCGATTTGCAACAAGTGCAACAATCGCAGGGCGTTGAGCAAGTGCATTTGAATCAACCACAACCAGGTAATAAAGGGGCGGGGGGGATGAATTGAGTTAGCTTATGGGTGGAAGAGAAGTGAGCTATGATTTCAGGGTTTTAAATAGAATCATTTTAATTACTTTGTAAACGACTCTGAAACGTAGGTGCCTTGAGGTAGGCATATCTACAGCAAGTGCAGCAGAGTCGGAGCACGAAGCAAATGCATTTCAATCAACCACAACCAGGTATTAAACTGGGAGCGGAAGGGGGGGTAAGAGATAATATTAAATTGTATCATTCAAAAATGCAATGAGATAGGCGTCTATCTACAATAAGTGCAACAGAGCTAACTAAGAGGGATTAATGAGCTATGACTTTAGGGAGTTAACATAGAATAGAGCTAGGTAAAAGATGGGGTAAGAAATATGCCATGACTTTATAAGGCGAGGGAAGGGGAATGACGTCATCGTACGTCTCAGTACTATTGTACGAAAGAAACACTGATTGTGCATTATCTGTTTATTTAAATTATTATAATAATAAATATTTGTAACACACACCAATTAGCTTCACCCCAAAGTAAGCACTAAGGCTTATGTTATGGGATAATCGGGTAAAAGACAGTAAACATATATTTATATATATAATTATTTAGAAATACATATAAGCGTCCATGACTTTGGTACAAAATGCTTGTATTCGTTTTAAATTTGCATTTATTAACAATGTTTCAAGTTTTACAGGTCCAGTGAAGCGGTGCATGCCACACCTTACCTTGTCTAATGTCCTTAAAGAAATGGAGGCGAAATGTTATTTAAGATGTCTGTTTTTGTCTTTATTTATACTTTTAGAATACGTTTATTTTTCCACAGGTTATATTATGACTGTATTTTTTTTAATTACGTGGAACAAGGCTTTTATTTACAAAAGTTTTGGAACGGAGTTCCTTTATTTTATTTCTTCCTTTTTTCTAAATATAAAAGCGTTGTTTTACATTTATCCGCTTTAATGTTGCTACTAACCACACTTTTACAAATAAATGAAGATATTTCCGTTTTTTAAATGAAAATATCATCATTTTTTCCGCTTCTACGACGGCATGTACAAACGGCATTGCGAAAGCACACAAAAATGGGCATTTTAAATAGTTTAATTAGAAAAATTAGAAAAAATAAGATTACTTTAATTTTACCTCCATTTCCATACTTTATTTTTAAGCAATTATAATGATAAAGTATACATCGCTACAAACGTCTGAGTGTACTACGTACTACGAAACCTGCGCAGGAGCAGTTCGATATATAAAAACATGTACTGGGCAAGTTTCTTAGTCGATGGTTTTACTCAATATACGATTTGTATACTTTGTTATTTAATCATTTATGCGACATGATAATCTAGAGATATTTAATTTTTTTTTATTATGATGTCACATCTGTTTCATACGGAAAATTTACATTATGCCAATCATTTAGAGTGCATTTTTGATAACAACATCAAAACTTTGTAATCAACATAAATATACACTAATAAGAATTTTTTAAAGAATATTATCACATCCAAATTTTTCTGTACTTTTTTAATAACAACAACAAAACTATGGTATCATCAATAATGCACACGAATGTTATTGGAATACTGCCTTATTTCAAAACGTGGACTAAAGTTAGTCTTGATTTAAACCTAATGATGTCTCTGTCTTCTTTTTAGCAAACAAGAGTGACAGCATCAGTTTTATTCCAGGTTTAACTGTAGTCTACGTTTTGCGATAAGGCGGTTAAAGTCTATTTTTCTTTGCAATTTTTCCATTATCCTTGTCTGATTCTATGTCAATATATTGCAGAATTAAAAGGGCAAGGCTTCTCTAAGGAGGTGTGCAGAAGTATGATAGCCATGTTGGATAAAGATGGCTCTGGTGGACTTGGATTTGAAGAGTTCAAAACTTTGTGGATCGATCTGCGTAACTGGAGGGTATGTTATATTTTTAGTTAATTAGTCATTTTTTTTGTAAGACCGGCTTAAACCGATGAACCAATTTTGGTTAATCTATACTTCTATACTAATATTATAAAAGGGAAAGATTTGTATGTAAGTATGTTTGGTAATGAATTGGCTCAAAAAGTACTGGACCTACTTTAAAAATTCTTTCACCATTTGAATGCTACATTATCACTGATTAGGCTATAGTGTATTTTCAAAAAAATTAGGATTCCGTATGAAAACTTCGATAATGTTACCCAAAGTGTGTAAAAAAATGCCTTATATCGCGTACGCTGTGGAAGTCATTGACAATAGAGCAAAATGATGTACTAAAGTTTTATAGAGGATACCAATATCTACAAAAAAGTCCGCAATACCAGTTATGTCACAACTAGAGAGAACGTAATTTTCAAGAAAAAGGTTTATAGTGAGTGAAACTTAAAATATGGACAGGCAGGAATACGGATAGGCTGTCGTGGACTTTTGTACAGAACTTTTTAAAGGGGAAGAATTCGTAAGGGGAACCTTACCCGTTTTTGCAACATTTTTCATCTATGGGCATCATCGGGGCAGGGGGCGGTCTTAAACCTCACCACAAAGTTAAAAAATGCCAAAAAAAACATCACCTGAGATTAATGGACGGCCTCTTATCATATTCGCAGGCTGTTTTCCGTCTATACGATACTGAAGGGCGCGGTGCTATCCCCGCCTATCACCTCAGAGATGCCCTTCATTCCGCTGGATACACTGTCAATGCACACGTTCTCAATGTAATGGCTCACAGGTTAGTATAATATTTTTTACAAAACTGCTCCAAAATGCATTTACGGAGGTTCTATACATTGTTCGAAAGTTCAAAATTACGGGCCATAGAACGGAGCGTGCGGTAAAGCGATTTACCGCACGCTTCCATACATGGTGCCGTGCATATCGTTTACGGTTTTTTTTTATTTAGTCGAACCTCCTTGGAAGCGATTTTTATCAATACCTCTGTCTCACTTTAATACTGAAAAGAATAAGAGACGAAATATGTATTAGTTCTAATTTTCACCACCCGCACGTGGCGCTATTTGGAAATACGCGCCATTTTCTTATTACTAAAAACTTAAATTAGCCATAGGTAATGTTTTCTCGCAAATGGCTGAAAGACGTTACATGACACGTATTCTCGCATACCAATCATTTAATAAAACACTTTTTGAACGGGTAAAAAGCGCATTTTTACGGTGGTTGAAATGTTGATAATACTTATACGAATACGCGGTCCTTCATTAAATCAATTTAACGTTTTTGAGTAGGACGGTTAAAATTATTTATTATTTTTGACAGATACGGCTCCTCAGATGGTTACATTCAGTTTGACGACTTCATAATGTGCGCCGTGCGACTCAAAACCATGATCGGTAAGTTATAAACAGAAATATTTCAGTTTAACATTTAACAGAATTATATATAAAAAAGTATTAACGTTTTGATAAAAATATCCGTAAAATCGAGGACCTCTGGTAGGAATCGAAGCAAAAGATTATGCATATAAAAAAATGTGTTTATTAAAAATAAATAATATTATGTACTTCCAATAGATCCTTATATTTTAATTATAACTCACTGAAACAATGAATTTTATATATATATTTTTCTCTTTCAGTCTTGTTTTGAAATATATACAAGAATCGAACCCGTTATACCATAACACTCATTGCGATATTTTTGTTAGATTTTGTTTAAAATGTATCTTTTAACATATTAGTTGAAATAACATTGGTGTTTGTAAATGTCATTTAGAAGAATGTTTATTACCTACAAAGTGACTCAAATATTTTAATTTATTTAGAAACTGACTATGGCGTAGGAGCTCTAAGATTGTGTAATCTTAGCAACTTTCTCAATGGGATGGGTGACCAAAAATTTCGAGCTCCTCCGTGCTTCAGAAGGCACGCTAAGCCGTTGGTCCCGGCTGCATCTGCAGTCGTTAGCACCCACCAATTTAAACTGGGCTCATTATGATGGGTCATGGCCCATTTTCCCTATTCCTTCTATGGGGAAGGCCTGTGCCCCAGCAGTGGGGACATTAATAGGCTGATATTGATGCCAACCGCACTTGATGAAATCCCGCCAAAAATCTGTTTTAAGGGTTCCGTACCACAAAAGGAAAAAACGGAATATTATCGATCACTTTGTTGTCCGTCCGTCTGTCAGGACCATTTTTCTCAGGATTGCGAGGGCTATACTGGGCTCATATGATGGGTTATGGCATCTTCCCTATTCCATATTTCATATAGGGAAGGCCTGTGCCCCAGCAGTGGGGACATTAAAAGCCCGAAAGATGTTGATGATAACCTTTGAATTTTAAACAAAAGAGTCAGCTTAACGATTGAGTATGTAAAAACAGCTAACAACGAACCGCTCGAGAATCTCGAACGCGAACTGCAAGGGGTGCCATGAGACAACGCCGCACGTACACAAGTATACAAACGATATAAGAGAAATACGCTAAACACGACTTAGAAGTGTATATAAGAACCACTAGTGTTAAGAGATGGAATACCTTAATCGCGACAACGAATTAGTACCGACGAGAACGAAGCTTTACTGTCATTGACTGGATTGTATTGTATTGTTATTATCATATAATTACGTTTCACGGAAGGTTTATATTTATAATCAAACAAAACGATCAAACATTAATCTTAATAAATTAAATCTACTGTTAGGCAGAAAGCCTATCACATTTGTTTTCGGAATTTCAGAAACGATTTGCAATATACTTTTTGTTACTTTTTTATTTTAATTGTTCCTAAGAGTGAAGATAAAGTACTGTATGCAGTGCAAATCTTATATAATTCATATGACAGTATTATAAACTACTATTAATTTAATTATAATTTTAATTTATCTGTATTTATGCAATTCAGCTAGTCAGACAATAAAAGTTCCCTACAACATTAGTTCCATTAGATTTTCTTTACGAAAACAATACTATCTCTTAATAAGTGGTTCTTTTATACTGTTCTATTTCGTGTCACTTATTCACTACGGTCGAAATGTCATCACTATATAAAACAACTTTACTTAAATTTCAAACAACTTCATTTTTGTCTGCAAATATTTTTTCAAATAATATTAATAGCGATGACTTTTTTGCACCCATATACATTGTTTGCGACTGTATAAATATCTTTAACATTTTACTTAAATATTTATATTACTTAAAACTGTTTAAATTGTGAAATAAACTGATCGCAAACAATACCCCACAAGCACATTTCACGGGCTTTTTACAGGTGCCTACTAAAATTTCTTTAACTTGACGACTTTACTTCATACTTTCCATGGTACTGTAAACTGCCTTTGCACACGCTTACTAACTGTCGAAAAACCGCGCCAAAAACTACATCGAAATTTGTTAAATTAGTAAATAAAATTTCAGATACGTTCAAACAAAGATCGTCTGGGGGCGAACATGCAACGTTCTCGCTGGAAGAATGGCTGAATCGCACAGTGTACTCTTAAGATCGACGATTCGCCTTTAAAACGCCTTATTGTGAAGGCCTTAGGGTCTAAAATTAAAATCGGCCTTTACAACTTAAGTTAATTATAATCTCAATGGACACAGTTGGCAAAAAAAACCTTAAAAAAATACAACCGTGTGTTTTTTTTCAATTTTTTTTTTATTTGACAGTTTTTGTTATTCTTGTATATTTATATGAATTGCGAACATTGAGATAAAAAAACCGACTGTTCTTATGGAGATTCTTATTGATTCTAAGTCACAAAATAATGTTATAATGATGATTGATGTAACTTTTAATACTTTTACATTGTATCAAATACGGGTATGAATACTAACTTCGATGTCAAAATTAATATACCTACTTACTGTCCATTTTTTAATGTATCAATGTCATTTATTGTACAAATTGTATACATTTAAATTTAAGAGAATGGTTATAATAATATTGAAACAGTATTTTTTTATCCACCGATTACTCATTCCATGTGAAAATGGTTTTTTTTCTTGTTTTACTAAGGTTGTTTTTAGACGAGTTGTACACAACATCCTTAGTTTACTGTGCGATGTTGCTACCTTTGCTTCCGCAAATAATTAATATATAATTATAATATAAAGTAATGATAATATTATATTGTTACATTCAATCTGTTGCATTGATAATGGCATTTTTATATATTATTATGTATTCTCTTTTGTAATATTTATGACACTATTAAATCTAAATCCGACATATGAGATCTGAATAAATGTTTTCTTTTATTTATTAAATCATTTGTTTTATTCCTACCCTGGCGTTCTAAAATGTGATCATGTTAAACTACTTCCCTTATAGAGAAAATATAGGTAACTAGAAAAAAAAACCACTCAGTCCAGGTTACAGACTGAATTCGAACCCGAATCTCCTGCTATCCGCCAGGCAAGTTAGTTATATTTTCTTAAGATTTTAACATCTAGCAGTTCTCTCTAAATTTAAGAGCTATGCTCTTGTCGGTGCAGACTATGTATCCATCTCCCTCTATCCTCCGCCAACTCTTTGAGCCCCTTGTACGACTCGACGCCAACCTTTTCCTCATGTAGGCTATCCTCGGTCTTCCCCTTCCTCTCTTTCCTTTCACTTTTCCCTTAATGATGTTCATTTCATTTCATTCATTCATTACGTTCGGCCACCTTGTGCTACACGACAAATTCATAAAAAATCATCTAGCAGTTAAATGCTTAAAAATATAAATATAATAATCTACTTCTTTTAAAATTAAAATAGAATAAAATAAGTAGGTACTTTTTTTAAAATATCTAAACAAATCAGTTATCGCTTGTAGCTAATAATAATAATAAATATTTCCAACACTCACTCTGGCAAAATTCTCGGCTGTAGCGGGCACAACGATTCAATAGCGAAAATTTAAACCGAGATTTACCTTACTCATTACAGTAGATCGTGTAATTGTGTACCTTTCACTGCAACAAATTATATTAGTGTACTATATGACACTATTCCTACATAATTATGATTTTCTAATTTCTTCATTACAGTTCGAACAAAATCATCAAAAATATCTGATTAATATTACAAAATAAAATTTGTTTCTGCCTTTTCCAATTTAAATCGTGAAAACAAGGACATATAAATATAAATATTTCCAACACTCACATCAATTAGCCTAGCCCCAAAGTAAGCACTATAAGGCTTGTGTTATGGGATACTAGGGTAACGGATCTATGACTGGAGTACAAATGCTCGTATTCATCACACAAACATCTGCCCCCACCGGGATTTAAACCCGGGACCTCTGGAGTCGGCGACACCATGAAACCCGGCATACAAACTGCTCTGCCACGGAGGTCGTCGACAAATAATTATTTCACTCCATGTTAGAGGCTATTGAACTCACATATTATGAGGTGTTGAGGTGGCCATTCTTAACCATCTACGAAAGAAGGATTTTTGTTCACTTTTTCTAACTGGTTATGATATCAGAATATCTTTTCCATTTTCGCAATTGGTTCAGTAAAAAAAAAAAATTTAAGCATATAACTGCTAGATGTTTAAATCTAAAGAATATTTTGCTAGAAACAATTCTACACGGACCATGCAGCACACGGGACTTGAACCAGCACCCTTCGCTATCCGGGCGAATGCACTGATCGATTGATTGATGCGATTTGAACCGTCTGAACAGATTTTCAGAAAGCCATTGAACGATAAAGATTGATATATTTAAATCGCTTCGTGTAAACCCGGTATACGGGTACTGATCGATATGTTTTCGATCAGAAATCGAAACCGCGCGAGGCGCATGCTGAGCTGCACACAGGTGCCAATGTGAATATTACATCCAGTAGCGTAGAATCCGTTAAATTCGCATCTGTAAATATCAACTTCAGTTTTTCTTTTTTTTTATAGCGAAGTAGACAAAATTTGTCATTTAATGACAACCCCACCTGATGTTAAGTGGTGATAAAGTCCAAACGCGAAGATAGCTGGTACAGCAGTTATAAACTGCCACACCAACCATCCTCACCTTGCCGGCCTGCAAAAAAGCTTCTTCACGCCTCTCTTAAAGGACCCCAGATTGTAGGAAGGAGAGAATGTTGTTGCGACGAATCCGTTAAAAAGGATCCTATGAGAATGGACGTTCTATGTATAAGAGCTTTAAGCTATACAAGAACTTCCGAAAGGCGAAATGCTATGCTATCAGTTCGGCGGGACTGTTCTATGAAAATTTTCCAAGGACATTTTTTTCTCGTTACCTACTTAGTATATACGCCATACGCTTACTTAAAGTAGCTACTTCAAACAAAGCTCCTTTAAGTAAGCGTATGGACATATAAAAATAGCCCTTTCCGAATTTCTGATTAGTTTTACCTCAACCCGAATTTCTTAATAACAATGAGGTCAAATTTTGTGATGATAATAAATGAAACTACTTAATTACTGTTCAAAATGTGTACTTAACAGAAGAATGTCAACCTTACATACATAAATGTACTTATTAATAACTCGTTACATTTACATTTCGCTTACACACACACACACAGTTTCACAATACTCTTTTATAAGTTTGAATACAAATAACTCATTACTTTTAAATTTCGCCATTCTCACAGTTTCACAATAAACTCTTTAATAAGTTTGAAGTCATAAGCAAACGAGCTAGCAGACTTGATTTGAGACCTAAGCTCTGCGAAAGTGAACTTTATGAGTGTAGGGGCAAGGTTTATATTTATTCGTCCCATTCTTCCATGTCCTGGTCCTGTGGTATTTCGTAGTTGCATTTGAGTTTTTGTTCCAACTCCTTCACTAGTTGCGGTGGCATTTTCATTTTTTCCATTCTAGCAGGTCTGACGAATATCCTGGCACCACCTGATGGCGACACAAAATATATAAATAATACATATTTCCAACATTCACACCAATTAGCCTAGTCCCAAAGTAACCACTGTACTATGCGATTCAAATAAGAATAGGAAAGCCAATGACCTCCATCTGTCAAATGTTGCTTAAAAAGTACGGTTTGCAGAAAATCTTGAAATACTTTTTTTTAGCGCTACGCTAATCTTAGAATAAATACCAAACATTTGTAAACAAAAAGAAGGAAATAAATCGTATGTAACGTATAGAAAATGAGTACTGAAAAAGAGAACTATCAGAGAATTTGTTTTATTATAAAACCAGGCAAAAAAGACCGTATTTATTATAAATAAAGTTGTCATTTTAAAACCTACAATAATCGATATTTTATTTTATAACCAAGCAGCAGTGAATATGATGACGATGATAATGACTACTCCAACGGTAGTGCAGAGATGAGCGGAATTAAGGAGCTAGATTTTGATTGATGTTTTTTCTCACTCAGTCTAATATTATTAAAAAAAATAAAAATCTGATATTTTTTTTCACTTATTCTTGTTAAATAATTTTATTAAAGAAAAACTTTGTTGCTCACTGTACCTAACTGGTTTGAATTGACAGCTATGACGTCACAATATGGCGCCCAGTCGGTCCTAGTCTTAGTTGAATCGCACTATAGGCTTGTGTTATGAGATACTAGGGTAACAGATAGAATACATAATATACTGACACATATATAAGTATATTTATATAGAAATATATGTTAAACATCCATGGCTGGAGTACAAATGCTCGTATTCATCACACAAACATCTGCCCCCACCGGAATTTGAACCCGGAACCTCTCGAGTCGGCGACACCATGAAACCCAGCGTACAAACCACTCGGCCACGGAGGTCGTGAAAATAAATGATTACATTACAAACTTGGGTAAAATTTGAGTGACGCGCAGTCTGGTTTACTTTGGGTAATTTTTCCTTAAAATACGTTATTTCTAGACCTTGTTTTACAGAAAACAGTTTCAATTCAATACATACTTCGTCTAGCTTTAAAATAGTTTTTTGTAAAACTAGTGTTATGGAGATATCACAGCAATTTTATAGCAAATGGGCGATATTCTTCAAAGAAGTCCGTTTGAAAGTATGTAAATTAGTATACTAACGACCTGGCCCGGCTTTGCACGGGTGCACTTTGCTTAAGCGCGATAATAAGGAATATAAGGGATAATACAGCATTCTAATGTTAAAGAATTTCTAAAACCCATCCAGTAGTTTTTTTTTTGCTACCAACTTTTTCGTCTTTGTAATATTAGTATAGAAGTATGAATTTCATTCGACGACATTGTTTAATGAGCTTGATGGTGCAAGTGTTTTTTTTTCAAGTGATTAGCTCGTTCGTCTGCAATCGTTGAAGTTAAGCAACTTTCGCAGTGGTAGGTTATTGGATGGGTGACCAAAATATTACTATCTCTCACTCCTCCGTGCTTCGGAAGGCACGTTAAGCCGTTGGTCCCGGCTGCATCTGCAGTCGTTAGCACCCGCCAATCCGCAGTGGGCCCGTCTGGTGGGTCATGGCCCAATCTCCCTTTTCCATCCATACGGAAGACCTGTGCCCCAGCAGTGGGGGTTTTAATAGGCTGATGATGATGAGTCGTTGAGGAACTCAATGGCACAAATGGTTAGCGCGTTCGGCTACGATCGTTAAAGTTAAGCAACTTTCGCAGTGGTCGGTCATTGGATGGGTGACCAAAAAATTTACTTTGCCCCAGCAGTGGGGACATTAATAGGCTGGTGCTGAATGAATAGGAGAGGATGATGCTGGATTATATACTGACCAAATGCTTGCCCGTTGAGCGCCATAAGGTTTAAATAATGTCTATAACGGGTTGAGAAAGCGACCATATTGCATATGTAGTCGGATCTGATGATCTTCACCGCTTGACACTTGTCCATTATGGGCCCGATGTGGTCGCGAGTCGGCAGGAATGGTTCACCGTAAATCTACGGAAAAAATACAAGTTTTTATATTAAATTCACGCACTTCTTCTAGATAGTCTTTCACACTAACGTTAAACTCATTTAATAGGTCCCTTTCAGTGTCATCATCGATATATTTTATTTGTATTTACGTATGTATATGTGTATATATATATATATATATATATATATATATATATATATATATATATATATATATATATATATATATGTATGTATGAATGTGTATATATGTTTATATGTCTTGTGCTCATGTATATTTAACTATTATGTATAAGATAAGTAGGTACTTTCTGTTATGTTGTATTTATATTAATTAATTATTTTTTTCACCCCATAGCAAATTTTACATAATGTTGTAACTGTTCGCACTGTTTTTATTTACAGGATATTTAAGTTTCCCAGCTAATTATAAATTCACGGTTTATTCCGTTGAGAAGCTTACTTTCATCCTGACTTGATGATTCGGAGTTAAAGGTTTTCGTCCACCATGAAAGTGTTGCGTCATCACTTGTCGCAGAATCTGTGCAAAAAAAAATTTAAAAACATCAAACATTATTTTATTTAATTTTTTACTATTATATAGAGGGAGAATTTGATGGCGCAAGTGGTTAGCGCGTTCGGCTGCGATCGTTGAAGTTAAGCAACTCTCGCTGTGGTCGGTCATTGGATGGGTGACCAAAAATCTTCTATCTCGAGTTCCTCCGTGCTTCGGAAGGCACGTTAAGCCGTTGGTCCCGGCTGCATCTGCAGTCGTTAGCACCCACCAATCCGCACTGGGCCCGCGTGGTTGGTCATGGCCCAATCTCCCTATTCCATCCATAGGGAAGGCCTGTGGCCCAGTAGTGGGGCATTAATAGGCTGATGATGAAAGGGAGAACCTGCAAATGCTACGTGCGTTTGACATTTATTCGGGTTACATACAATGCGAAGAGACGGCGCTGCCTTGCAGCCTAAGAAATGCTAGAAGAAATTCGACACGACCTTAAGGTCGGTAAGGTAATAGCATAATTGGTCAGTGCATCCGCCCGGATAGCGGAGGGTGCGAGTTCGAGTCCTGTCTGCTGCCTGGACCGCAGGATTTTTTTTTCTAGTAAAATTTTCTTTACATACAGACGAATTATGGAACCTTCTCCTTTTTGACGTCGGTAAAAAATATATTATAGACGCGCTCAGTCTTTGAATACATTCAAAGACCAGCTCAAACACTATTATCTGTCGCAGTGAATCTGATTTTACTGTGTAAAATGTTTATCATATATATGTCATGTATATGTATGCATGTATGTATGTATATATGTTATTAAATGTCTTTTTTAATTACAATACTTAGGTTTTATGTAAATTTGTATGTACAGATGTGACTATGTCTCCAAGCCATATAAATACCTAACATATAGTCTCTGTATAACTTTTAATACATGAGTATTTCTTTCTTCCAGACAACCTCATGGTTGTCTGGAAGAAATCGCTCTTAGCGATAAGACGGCCAATTATAATGATTTTGTTAAGTTTATTGTTTGTTAATGTAATTATGTATTTGGTGTTATAATAAAGTATTAATCAATCTATCTTTTCATGTATTATATCTCACCGGATTCATATAAGGTACTATTTTCTTGAATTGCACCCTCACTCGGTTTTGAGCCAACTCCTCCGGCGAGGCGACCTGCGGTTCGATCTCCGTCTTAAGACCATTCACGTATTCTAAAATCTATAAAATGTGTGGAAAAAAGTACTTTAAAATAAATTAAACCAATCACCGAAATAGGTATTCGAGTGAAGTAATTAACGGCTGTACTTTACATTCTTTAACTTTTAAGTTGGTTTATAGTTGATACTGGTGTCGATTCTGGCATGATTCGCTAAACTTAAAACTAAATTTAACATCATTCTCTCCTTTTCATTCTGTATAGAGTATGGCAAGGATACATTGTTGTCAAATTTAAGTTTAGGTTAAGAGAACCTTGCCAGAATCGACACCATTGCCACTTTTAAGTTGGACTAAAGTTAATACTCTCTTTTTTTAATTTGGACTAAATTTGATACTCTCCCCCTTTTAAATGGTACTAAAGTTGATACTCCCCCTTTTAAATTGGACTAAACTTGATACTCCCCCTTTTAAATTGGACTAAACTTGATACTCCCCCTTTTAAATTGGACTAAACTTGATACTCTCCTTTTTGAATTGGATTAAAGTTGATATTGCCACTTTTTCGCGATGAGAATAGAAAAAGACAACAACTAACTTAACAACTAAATAACTAAACGAAGCAATAAATGAATTTGACGATACTAAATATGGCTATATGATTTACCTTCTGCTCTATTCTAGTAATGTACTTTTGAACCGTTTTCTTCACATTCTCATTTGTAAACTGATCATCTGAAAATAAAATATAAATTGAATTCTTACGTTTTCACGCACACCACCAATTATACATAAAAAACTGTTTCAACGGCGTTTTTAATACTTTTATAAATATCCCTACATTTGACTTTTTATATTTTGGTGTTTTTTTTTTATTCAATTTCTTTTAATCAAAGCATAATATACTGGAATAAACATATCATTAGATACATATTTTTTGAAAGTCTTAGCATTATAACACTTACACTTCCATTTCTACAACAAAAAATTCTTTAACACTGATTTCCTTTATCCACTCATGTCTTTAATTGTTTCCTTGTTTTTTCAAACTTATCTAAAAAGAGTAAACAATTGGCTATGCCAATAATTGTGGGGTTACCCTAACGATATGAATTACCCTATAATATACACCACGTGCACTCAAAATGTGTCCCAATCAGAAAGTGCTTGAACACCACTCAAGCACTTCTTGGTTCACAGTCACGCGCCGACCGTTGTAAAGTCAACATGCCACAGAGCTTCGTAAAAAAATGCAAAAAAAAAATACTTATAGTACGCAAAGTGTCGTTTTTTCGACAGGTATCTAATCAATATTTGTTTGCAATGCAACGCATTTGAAGCAAATCTTGTTCTAATACTTACTATAAACTGATGTAATAGAAAATATTTGTGATATTCAAATGCATGGTCGGTTAGCAGTCTATTTTCCTCCCGGTCCATACCTGCTGTATTGCTAACAGCGCATTCAAGTTTGCGCATAGAGTCAAAGAAATAAGGTTTACACTCTTCCGCATACAGCAATAAGTCGTAAAATTTTACGAGCTTGCATTTCGAACTGTCATAACTCTTTGGCGCATACGTTTTAATTAAGACCTTATACAATATGCACTAAAGGTTACTTTCAATGTTTAAATAATGCCTTATATTGTTTTTGCCTACGCGATCATCCCACGGAGCTCCGTGGATCGTCCAATGTACGTTTTGGACAAGTTTCAGCCACGATTTTGATCGTGTTGTTATGTCTAGGGTATTTATTATCGTTGGGTTTCCCCTATTACTATTACTTACCGTTCAAGTCTGCGGGCGGTTTGGAGAGCTCCTGCTCAGAGATCTGCGAACGAGGAGATCCGGCCGCGTCTTCTATGCTGTGCAGCGTCGACAATATCAACTGGAAGTCGCCGAAGTGGGGGTACGACTTCCTATACAAGAGTGGCAAACGAAACACTATAAATTATCATTATCGTCATCATCAGCCTATTAATGTCCCAACGGCTGTGGTACTGGCATTCCCTATGAATGGAATAGGGAGATTGGACCATGACCCACCACGCGGGCCCAGTGCGGATTGGTGGGCGCTAACGACTGCAGATGCAGCCGGGCCCAACGGCTTAACGTGCCTTCCGAAGCACGGAGGTACTCGGATAGAAGATTTTTGGTCGCCCATCCAATGACCGACCACTGCGAAAGTTGCTTAATTTCAACGATCGCAGCCGAACGCGCTAACCACCTGCGCCATCGAGCTCCTCTCCTATACATTATACTTCCGGACATATCAATCTGCCCACTTAGTGTTATGTATAAGTTTCAACGGTCTGTAGCAAAAATATATTATGTTTATAGTTAAGCAATATTTTTTTAAACAAACGATAATATGGTTAATAAATCAGATTCATCACTGCGTAGGTAATAACTTTTTGCTCAATGTAACATATATTTTTAGCTAGGGACCTTGAGGACTTATAATGCTTGTTGGGCCAATAGATGTGTCCAAAAGTATATTATCGTCGAGATAGGGAGTCGTTCAAAAAGGAGGTCACACTAATTTCTAATATATATTATACTAGCTGACTCGGCGAATTTCGTACCGCCCAAAAGTAATAATTTGCAATAAAATTAAAATTGCGACTATAATTTGAGATTTAAACTATCCTATCTCTCAAGTTGGATCGAACTGCACATGGTGTGCGAATTTTATTATAATCGGTTCAGTGGTTTAGGAGTCCATTGAGGACAAACATTGTGACACGAGATTTATATATATTAAGATATAAAATCATGAAATATGTCATAATCATAGGTAACACGCATAACTTGTAAAACAAGTGCAGATGTCGTTGCACTTTCTCCCTTACTAAAATGAGCAGAAGGCTCTTATTAAAATGAGCCGCACTACTCGACCTTTATCGCGATCCGTGGTGTTCTGGTACATTCGGTCTTTAGTATTTTCTCGGTTTTGTTTCGAGAGCGTTTGTAACAATATTTTCAACCCACCCCCGTCCTTGTCACAGTTGGTCACATTTGCGAGTCCCTAGTGTGACGTCATATACCTAGTGTGACGTCACATATTTTGCATTTACAAATTATTAAATTAAAACAGCACTTGCGAAATTAGTTCTGAAAATTAACCAACACAACATATTAAAACCCATACAGATGCAATCACACTAATATTATAAACGTGAAAGTTTGTGAGTGTGTATGTTTATTACTTCTTCACGTCTAAACGGCTGGAGCGATTTTAATAAAATTTTATCCTGGAGTTAGCTGACACCCTGGATTAACACATAGGCTACGTTTTACTGCGAGAAAATATCCCCAATCAACCATGGGTAACACCGCCGGGCACAACTAGTTCGAAATATTTTGAAGATTAAGATTTTTTTTTTGAGTTTCATTCTAAGTATGGAGTACCCCCAAAATTTATTGTTTTTTTTTCTATTTTCATGTGAAATTCTTAATGCGGATCCACAGAATACATCTACTTTCCAAGTTTCAACAGTATAGTTCTTATAGTTTCGCAAAAGAGTGGCTGTGACATACGGACCGACAGACAGATACAGACAGACCGACGTGACAAATCCATTAGGGTTCCGTTTTTCCATTTGGCTGCGGAACCCTAAAAACATACCGGCGGCCGAATTGAGTACCTCCTCTTTTTTGAAGTCGATTACTAATGGCACACACACTATCAAATTTTTAATGCAGTCTGACAAACACGCAATAAGACTCACCTGTACGCTTTGCTGAGTACGAACGGTGCTTTGGCATATTCCATGTTACTGTCCATAATGTGTTTCAAACGTTCAAACACTGTCTGCAAATCATGGAAAGAAATAATTCACCTAATAGGCTTATGGTATATTTAAAAATAACATAACGTAATATTGCACATAAGTGAATAAAATGTCGGCACTTAATTCATATTCAAAAATATATTTATTTACAAGAAACATGGTAAAATAAATATGATGCTCAAACATGATTCGCTAAATTAGCATGCAAATAATAAACTATTTTACAATAAATCCAAAGAATATTAATATTGTAATAAGCCACATTAATGTCAATCATATTAAAATTATAATTCCATTTAAACATGTCAATTAATCGTCATACGTCATCACATTAAACATGTCAACAAATCCATATTATTATTGAATCTCTTATCTATTAGACAAGTCCGTCCGTCCGTCTGTGGTGCTGTTTCAGCGGCCAAACCGTAAGAGATAGATAAAGAGAATATTTAAGTTATAAGTTAAGAATAGTCTGATAAGACTACAAACCGGATTTGAGTAACGTAGCACTTCCAGTTTTCGAGAAATCACGAATTTCAAACGAAACCACACAAAATCTCCGAAGTTCTCAATTAATTAAATACATTTTTTTTTAATCAGGTTTTGTTGAACATTTGGTTCACTGGTTTGCTAGTAAGTTATAATTATATAGGAGGAGCTCGATGGCGCAAGTGATTGGCGCGTTCGGCTGCGATCGTTGAACTTAAGCAACTTTCGCAGTGGTCGGTCATTGGATAGGTGACCAAAAATTACTATCTCGAGCTCCTCCGTGCTTCGGAAGGCACGTTAAGCCGTTGGTCCCGGCTGCATCTGCAGTCGTTAGCACCCACCAATCCGCACTGGGCCCGCGTGGTTGGTCATGGCCCAATCTCCCTATTCCCACCGGGAAGGCCTGTGCCCCAGTAGTGGGGACATTAATAGGCTGATGATGATGAAGTTAGAATTTTGCTAAAAATAAGTTATACTACATACATTTGATTATTCGTGTTTGCTATTTGTAAACTTAACATCGGCCTGTCCCTTTCATTCCTTAGGCTGGAAACAGTGCTCGACTGGCGGTACATCCCGACCGTCAGCGCTGACCGTCGGTAGCGAAAATGCATTCAGTGCTACGCTGACGGCGAACGGCGACGCGTGTGTACAGTTCACGAGAAAAATGAACCCTTTTGCTGTAATATGCTATTTTTGCGCAATTAATTCTTTTTGATTCTTAGGTTTTCACGCACATCACTCATTAAATAAAACTAGTTTTACAGCCTGTGCTTAATGCACGAACTTTATTTATTTATTGACGTGTCGCAGCCTTTTCAGGTCTGCATCGTCAGAATAATGATTTTTTATTTACTTTGTCGAGCTTCGAAAGACGTCTTTCGAAGGTAGCTCGACAAGGCTGCGAAACGTCTTAAAACTAGTTTTATTTAATTAATTCTTTACAAACTTCTTGCCAAGCTATTCTTTTAGCATCACGGTCTTTATAAAATACAGACGATAAATCCCATATTGCCGGACGAAGCCGCACTTCAGTAATAAGGCGCTCTGTATCAATATTATTTTTTTTATTTTGCAAGTACGCGCGTATGGTCGGTCGCTCCGTCAGTGAAGCACTGAATGCGACGGTCAGCGCTGACCATCGGTCGAGCACTGTTTTCAGCCTTAAGCAAGCCATACACGCTAGGGTATACCTGACAGGTACAGTTCAACTGCACAGGTAAACTTGAGTTTAGTAGAGACCATACACGTAGTGGTAAACCTGCACAAACTTTCAGTTGAAACCATGACCCCGATCGCTCTAAAAATCACCGGACAACTGACGCCTGCGCAGACGACCGCCACACACGCTCAGTTTTACCTGCACAGTTAAACTGCACAGGTAGGAAATATCAAAATTCATATGTTTTCGAGTTGCCTATACAGGAGTGGCAACCTGCGCAGTTATGTGACATACACGCTTCGGTTTACCTGTACAGTTAAACTGTACAGGTACACTTGTCAGATAAACCCTAGCGTGTATGGCTTGCTTTATAAAGTCAAGTTTACAAACAGCAATTACGAAACGCCAAGTGGCATAAATGGTATACCAATACGACGTCTCTTATTTACGATGACGAAAATGGGTATACACATATTTATAAAAAATATTTTTTCAGTTTCTTACCCTTGCAATTTCTTTGAACAACTTGTGATCACATTTCCTACTCAATTGCAATAAACCAGTGTGTTTACTCTGAAGCTCTATGAGTATTTCGTTGTGCGTCAAAAACAAAACCTGCAATAATAAACCAAATCAATTGAATATGTCAAGTCAAATATTAATTTTAGATGAATGTTAAATTGAAGACTTTTATTAAATATGCGAGTAGATAGAGCAATCCATATAAACCACGCAAAGAAAACGGCTCACACTACGCGCAATGTGCGCGTGACTGTGATGTCAGTTTCTTTTAAAGCAGTCAATGTGTGCGTTTTGTGGTGGTGTAACAAGAGAAATGCTTATTAATTTGAATCCCATTTCATGAATACAGGAGTCAAGAGTCTGACGCGACAATTTACATTTCGACGACGAAGTACAAATACCTCTTAACTAACATTCTTTGAGAAAAATAACTTTATAATATTTAACTTTTAGGTGTATTTCTGCATTTTATGATGAAATCACTCATTTGAATATTAACGGTGAATTGTAAAAATATACTGTGAATATTTACTTTACCTGCTCTGGTGGTAACACAGGGCCCTTTTTTTCCAATTGCGACTTTTTGAATATTGACTTAGAAAATGGTACGTTCTGTAAACAGTGTCGAAAAGTTAATATCAACATAACATTTTGTGAATGTGTATGGTACATAACAAAATAGCAATGGGAGTAGGCTTGCCAGGTGTCCGGCTTTAGCCGGACATGTTTGGCTTTTTGCGGTCGCGTCCGGCCAAATATGTACGTGTTTGGCCTGTCCGGCTTTTGTCAGGCTCTTTGTCAGAGTGGCGATTCGTACGACGATGGGCAGACGAGCGTCCGAGCGGACAAGAGAGCAAACTGTTGACGCGACGTGAGCGTGACTACCCCGCCCCGCTGTCTGATATAATAAATATGTCCGGCTTTTAGGGCAAAATGTCAGGCCTTATATAGTGCGCAGTCCGGCCTTAGCATTGTATGGCCTGGCAACCCTAAATGGGAGGTAAGTATTTATTGAGTAACATTTTAAGTGCTAGCAAGTGATAAGTTAATAAACATTTTTTTTTTATTAGATTCAAGTTGTGGTGCAAGAATGTCAATGTTTAGGCTCGATTTAGGTATACGCGATTTCTTTTTGACAAAGCGAATGAAAATGTAGGTAAGAAAAACACAACACAACTCAAAAACACATTCAGCTGGTTCAGCAGCCGCGCGCATGAGTTGTGTTGTGCGTTGGGTAAAACAATGATCAGCATTGCCGAAAAGTCGGCCGACTAGCCGGCAATTTGAAAACCGATTAGTCAGCAAATACTATAGTCGGCCAATCTATAATCAGGACACATGCGCACGATGCAGTTACCTGAAATACCTGCTTAGGACACTTTTAGGCAGGTTCAAAATACAATTCTACTCGCAAGTTGCCAGCCCGCGTTAGGGTGCGGCCAGAGTGCACTCAGATTCAGATTCAGATTCAGATTTCGAAAACAAACGCGAGAAATAAACAGTGTAGTCGAAGGGTACGGCCAGATTGCACTCCTGATTCAGATTCAGATTCAGACTCAGAAAACAAAGCGCGAGAAAAAGCAGGCAACCTGCTTAGACTACACTGTTTATTTCTCGCGCTTGTTTTCGAAATCTGAATCTGAGTCTGAATCTGAGTGCACTCTGGCCGCACCCTTACACTGCTGTGCGTTGCTGGTTAAAGGTTCGTATACATTATGTCGGCCGCAACGGGGCGGGCGGTGCAGGCCGCAGGCCGCAGTGCAACGCAAAATGCTTACTTACATTAGTGACGTTAAATACGTTATGGATAACTCTTACGAAGAATTATCTTTTTTTGCCTGTTGTTAGATGAAGAATATAATGAACAGCTTCTACTAAAACTTGACCAATAACATAAATTGTAGAAAACGGATAGATCCAATTTGTTCCAAGATAAAGGTATTCGCCGAATACCATCATCTTTTTTCCGATCTTTTAGAAAAATAAAATATTTAAACATATCCATTTATTGTAAAATGAACACGTGCGCGCGTGCACTCCAATCTCCAATGCACTTTTTATAGCACACCGTGTCGGGGCGGGCCGCACCATACGCAACTTAAATCTGCAGCGTAATATGGGGCCCGCTGCGCCCCAGCAATAATGTGCGATAGTTTATATAAAATATAGGTAGATTTGAGCGGATTTTTGCACTGCGACCAGACCTGAGCCCGAGCGGCCCGACAATGTAGGCGAACCATAATACAGGTTGACAAGATTAAATTTCGTTTTGATTTTACAATCCATTCCGATCCAATCCTTTCCGCACATTTTGGAGGAAATTATAATTGAGATTTGAATTCAATAGCAAATTGCGAGCGAAGTAACCGGATAGTAGGTGTCTCAATATAAACATGGTGACTTTACGACAAGCCGACATAAATGTTAACGTAACTGTTAGGGGAGTTTGGACTGGCTAGGTGAGGATGTCTTCACAACTGCACTCCACTCATATTGAACATGAGGTGGAGTGATTTAATTTGGCAGCTTGTTACGAAAAACATTTGGCACTCAGGCACTCATCCAGTAACTACATTGCTATGAAGAATAAGTTGATTTTGAAAGGCTCTGGATGACAGTCACCTACTCTTAATTACAGAATACATAAACATAATGTTTATTTTTATAACTTTATTTATTTTACTAATCATATCATACTTATTTCTAATCATATTTTTGCTCTTTTTATAATTATTTTCGTTTAAGGCTTCAGCAGAGTGGATATAGTGCCTCATAGGCACTAAGGCAACTTCCTTACCGGATTGATGCAGGCTCGTTTTGTTTTAATTTCTGTACCAAATCTGTACAGATTCTTTACCAAGTCAAGTCAAATTTATAAAGGTGTTACAGAGTCCATAGTAGTGATATTTACTTGAACAAAAATAAGAATGGCCAGTTGGTGAGTGGTTGTTTGGCCTCACCCAACAATTTGCTATAGGGTCACAACCATAGAGCTATGCGGCCGATGCGGCCAGGAGGGGAGTCGGCATTCACAGCTATCCCCTCCGTCAATTTGCCATCGCTGTTGGACCAGCTCAAAAACAAAATTAAGTCACCCTCAGATATTTCTCTAGACTAAGTCAAGACACGCAAGTATATGTTACAGATAAAAATGCCAAAATGTTATGTAATTTGCTGTAAAACATATCTGGAATATTAAACTTACAAAAGGATGTTGTTGAATTTCACATATAATTAGAATAATTATTAACATATTATTTCTATTTAACTACTTTATAAACAAAATCCATATTATGATGAATTTCCTACAAGAGGCAGAAACCAATCAGTTGCCCAATTGCACAATGCAAACAATAAAATGGGTTTTTGGATGTCAAAATCATCCTGAAGTTCATCACAATGTAGTATAGGTGTATGGTAAGGGGGCTAGAAAAGGTCCTACAGGGTGTAGTGTTGCAGGTAAGGAAGCCTATTACTTACGAGCTATTATAATAAAATGTATGAAGATTGAAAATTGTACTTACTAAATATGATAAGCACAATAAAAATTACACATTTTGTTAGCATACAATGGTGTCGAGCTGGCATGATTCTCTTAACTTAAAACTAAATTTAAGATCAGTCTCTCCTTTTCATTCATGACTGTTGTCAAATTTAAGTTTAGGTTTAGAGAATCTTGTCAAAATCAAAACCAATGTTATCATAAAACTGTACTTCCAGGGCCCAAGATTCTCAGGGCTCAAGTGATACTTGAATTTCTTTTGTAGAAAAGGGCTCTTTTAATAGTTTTTTGCTGGCGCTTCGCCGGCCGCTGCCGCGGCATGCTCGCGCGTTATGGTCACAACACTAACCAAACCTAGTGTGAAGTATTACCGCTTGGACCCTGGATGTACAGTTTAGCCAGCTTTACGTTTATTGTACGCTAGTTTGTTATACTTACTTCGGGAATATGATCCACTACTTGAGCTGTTAATTTAACTTTGACCTTAATAGCCACTCTTCTGACTCCATTTATAAAACTTGAAGGATCCATTTTATCAGAGAGCTTCACATATGCATTCTTATGCTTCTTACCGGGGAAGGAGAAGTTAAGAACGTCATATTGACCTTGTATACTCTTCTTGAGAACTGCTGTGAATCTTTGGATATTCCACTGAAACAATAAACTCAATCAAAATGTAGCAAGATACTCTATAATTTTCCATTTTAACACGAATCTAGTGAACTTACAAAACTAGGGATATGTGAAATACATATTAGAGTCATAATTGGAATTTAAAGTTTAATCTTATCACTATAAAAGTTAGATTTCTTCTGCAATGGAGATCTTCTTCAGAGAGAATATTCTTCGAGATTTAGCCAATTTTCAGTAAGCTTTCAGTGTGATAAGTTGGTAATAAACCATTAAAGCTGTGTGCCTTGCTCGTTCGACCGTCACAAACAAAAATCACAGATTACTAATAAATGTAGCAAACATAGGGATGAACGATACTAGTAAGGCCGTATACAGAAAGAAAGCCGAAAGCCGATCGGCGCTTATCGGCGCCAATCCTTCCTACATAAAGGAAGCCGATTAAAGCAGATCAAGCAAAATGTCGGACTCATCGGACGATGATTTGGTTTTGTTAGAAAATGTTTATTTAAAAATGCGAAAAACAGCTATATATCCTATAAATAGAGAAAAAAAAACGTTTCGGAGTATACCATCATTTATTTGTAAAAAAATTGAAATTTGGTGAACAAAGATTTTATACATATACAAGAATGATTCAAGAAACATTTTATTACATTTTGGTTTTAGTGAAAAACCGTTTGATGAAAAATTGGTGCAATTGGCATAAACAACCAATCCTTCCAGAAGAAAGACTTGTTGTCACCATTCGGTAAGTACGAAACAAATAATTTTAGCGCTTAGTTAATAAAAGATAAAGTTATTAGATTTATAAAAAGATTATAACTTAGATTGATTTAATCTAAGGATAATAATTCAAATACAAATTATTTATTATTCGGACCAGCGCGTGTCGGCGCCGCCGGTCCATAGAAAAAGGATAGTCCATAGAAGGACTTTCGGCTTTCTTTCTGTATACGGCCTAAGTGCTAGGCCGCACTACGGTTTATTTCCCGCAAGCGATAAACCGCAAAACCTGGAAACCGCCCGAAGCACACACACTACGATTAAAAACCGCGAAACTAGACACGATTTATCACAGTTTGAGGATGGATTTCAAGAGCTGTATGTATTGTTGCTTTAATACTAAGAAATAGAAAAAGAAAACGTCGTCACAAATTTCGTGAATATATTGTATGGACTACAAATTTTGGCGCGAGCCATTCTGTAACAAATCACGCTTTTAAATTCAGTCACGGGAAAAAACCGCTGGTGCGGCCGCTTGCATTAGTTTCCATGATTCACAAAACTACGCGGTATAAAACCGCGGCGGTTTCGCCGTAGTGCGGCCTAGCACTAAATACAAGTAATTAATCGATACTTTTCTTTCGATACCAAGTACTTTTGGCATCGATACTTTAGAACTAGATATAGCCAGAAACATATAAACGTGTAGAAAAACAGAAGACTCATGTAGAGAAACAGAAGCAGACATTTCAGAAAAACAGGAGTCTCCCGTAAAATTAGGAAACCTGGCAACCCTGAGACAGCTTTAACCCAGAATCATATTAACGTGTCGTGTCGTGTTGTGCGCGCCAGAAGCACATTGGTTTCCTATTTAGAGCATATACCAATGACGATTTTCTGAAGACTATCTGGGTGAGTCGTCTATTGCATTGGATCCAGACAGTCCCCGCTGGCCAGCCAATTACAGCATCTATCGACGATTTGGCGGACTTGGCCGATCGCATTCATGAGCTGGCAACACCGACTACTTCTGTAGCCTCCACTAGCCAAGCTAGCTTAAATCCAACCATCGAAGCCATGACCAGAGAGGTTGCAGAACTTTGCAAACAGTTCCAGAAGCTGGAGTCCAGTCGGAGAGGCACGGCAGATCTTCATCACAGTCTAGAAAACCCCGCTCCCAATCGAACTACAGGAAGTTTCCGCTTTGTTGATACCATAATAAATTCGCTGAGAAAGCCGACAGATGGATGCATAAAGCCTTGCGATTACAAAGCTGGAAACGCCAGGGGTAGTCTATAATGGCGACTGCTGACTGCCTACATCTTCTACTGGTCGCCTGTTTGTCATGGACCGCTTTTCGAAGTTGCAGTTTCCCGTCGATATCCAGTATCGACGACAAATTGCACCTTCGAAGTGACCTCTGCTGCTTCCCCCGGTCCCTTCTTCGTGATCGTCGTTCTAGGACGGACTGCAAATTAAGTGCTGCGAATGGGTCTACTATATCTACCTACGGTTATGTACAACTTATTCTTAAATTTGGCTTCCGTAGATTGTTTAGTTGGCGTTTTGTAGTTGCAGATGTAGCTAAACCAATTATTTTAACTCCATTGTAGATTGCCGTAAATAACGCTTATTAGATAGTACAACCTTTGTGTCATCTGTAGCCTTAGTTGCTAATTGTAGCATAGCGTCTCGGTATCACAAAATTCTCGATGAATTTCCCGAGATCACTCGACCAACTGGTACACATCGCACAGTCGCAAACAACACTGTACAACACATTCACACGACACGGGTACAGTTTTTTGTACCCCACGCCGTTTAGCTCAAGACAAACTTAAAATTGCCAAACAGGAGTTCCAGAATATTATAGCCAGCGGTACAGCCAGACCATCGCAGAGTTCATGGGCTTCTTGTGCGGGGCAGTGTCTTTCGAGATAGGCCACGCTGCGGACGTTGAAGGCTGTGGGGCAGCCTCCGCCATCATCCTCTTGCCCTTCTCACGACGGGTCGTGTTCACTTTTGGGGGGGTGGGAGTAATGTCTTTCTAGACTTCTCCTTCGTCGCTGTAGTCAAAGTCACTGTATACCTCTCAGGCGGAGTATACCGCGACTCTTTTCTTCCCCACCTTCTCGCGACTCGGTAGTCAACTTCCCACCCGGTGGCCAGCCGGAGCGCATGAGCCGCTAGTATTCCATTTATCACTCTGGGGCCCAGCTACCTCAGAGCGCCCGGTGTCAGCGGGATCGCATGACAGGACGTACTCGCTGTCCGACATTTTTCATCAATATTCCTTTTTTCGGGCGATGGAACCCTACCTGGCCTACTTCGAGTAGGTTTTTGAAGAGGTTTTCTCCTCGCGACCCCCACCTCGAAGGTCAAATTTTTTTTTTACCCGGAGAAATGCCTTACGCATACCCCGCCCCTGGGTAAGGCGACGAGGTTATGTGGGACACCTCCCCCCGCCACCAGTTCACCAACTCAGCCAACCCAGGGGCTGGCTCAGCGGCTGCTCGGGATGGGGGGCCCTACCCACTAAAATTTCGAGATGTGCCTTCTCTGCCGGAAATGACGGCGTGGGGTCCTTGCTGGAAATCAACCACACCATCCCAACGCCCCCGGCTTTGCCCAGACACTTCTGGGCATCACCCCCAGACAGTCGAGACCCTGTAATGCAGGAGTGAGTTTACCCAACCCTCTCCCGCTGGCCTCGATTAAAGTGGGATGAGGCGGTCAAATCGCCGCCCCCTACCACCCTGCCGTCTGCGTCGGATGAGGGCCGCGGAAGTGACAGCCTCACGGACCCTTTTAGCGGCCTCCTTCTGCGACATGACTGACCGTTATTGCGCAGAAGTAAAAGTTAAGATGTCTTGGGTGAAACGAGGTGGGCGTGCGTTCCGCCGATTGGCTCTCAATCGTACCCATGCGCCCCTATCGCCTCCGCGTTTTGTTCAGCGCTAGAGTTACGTACCGCGATCTGTACATGGTAGGGTAGCATACCCGTTATAATCTTGGTGACCATGAAAGTTTCAAACAAAAACCGTCAATTTATTCGTTAAATTATATTTATGGCGTTTTTTTTCTGAAAAAGTATCATTTTGTAGTAAAATCATTTTCAATCTTGTGTAAACGTAAATAAGAAAATCACTTCTAGCAACCCTGCCACTAAGTTTTAAACATGAAGTTATAGTATTTTAAAATAAACAAAATCATGTTTTATTTGTTTAAAGTTTAATTATTTGCTGTTCATAAATACTTTGTTATAATTAATGACTTTTGTCACTAAGCAAGTAATGTATAGACTTTTGTAACAGCATGTGTAAAGTTAATACTTTTGTATTTTTTGATATCGAAACAACAGGTCTGCCATGGCAAGAAAGAAACAGGACGAAAATAACAGAGTTAAGTTTCGTAGCCGCATTGAGGCAAGATATTTTGCTTACGAGTTGTGGGGAGATACCACCTATAAGTAAATTGACGCTTGTTTTTAACCCTATAAAAGCTATACATCCAGAAGCTGTTAAAATGACTGGGCTTTCTAATGACATACTTAAATTCTCTCCTACTTTTGAACGAAAAATTGATACAATAATTTCATTTTTGCAAGAATTGCCAAAACCAGTATGTTTGGTAGCCCATAATGGTAATTTGTTTGATTTTAAAATATTGTTGACCGAAATCAATGATGCCAATGCATCTCTTCCCAGTGACTTGCTGTGTGTTGACTCATTAGTTGGTTTTAGATTTATTTCGAAGAATAGAAATACTCCCACTAGTAAGAATGTTCATGTTATTCCCATGACATCAGTGCCACAGAAAACAGAAATTTCTGCTGATTTAATGACAGATGATGAAGATGAATGGCCCGATCTTAATGTGAGTACAGAAGATTGGCAAGATATAGATGACATTTGTAATAATCTATCCGATATTTCATGTGAAGATATCACAGAAGACCCAATAATAAAAGTTGATAAAAAGAAAAGGAGTGAGGTTATTCAAAAAGTTTTTAAAAAGGAAAAAAAGCCCAATCCAAACCCAAATCCCAATGGATATTCACTTGAAGCACTTTATAAGAAGTTTTTTAGAAAAGATCCAATCAATTTACACAGAGCAGAAGGTGACTGTTTAATGCTCCTTCAGTGTGTGGTAGCTGATAAGGAAAATTTTATACCATGGGCTGATAATGCAAGTTGTAAGATTACAGAAATAAAACCGCTTGTGCGTCGATAACAATTGCAAAGATAATTTATATATATTTTTTTATAAGTTTAAATTTACTTTATGTACCTTCCTCTAATATTATATTATAATATACCTATTTTGCTTGGTATATAATAGAGAATGACTTTATAGTGTGTTATTTCTCAGCTTTATCTCATAAGTAGAAATCATGTTTAAAATTGTGATATAAAAGTTGTCTCTAAATTAACATATACCTTTGTTTTAGAATGTTCTTGACGTGTTAATTATTTAAATTTTGAACTAGCTATAAAAAATGTAACCACATTTAATGTTTTATTTATACTCAGTCATATATTAAATATCATCATAAATTAATACCTAATTTTAATTTTGACCAAAGTAATAATTTTTTATTGGTACACCTACCTATTTTAAAATATTTAATTTGTATAAACATTAATAATATTTTAACTAAGTACTTAATTAAAAATGTCCAGTTGGTTAAAAAGTTACAGTCAATGAAATGAAATATGTACCTATTTACTAGAGTCCGTGTGAAATTTGGTTTTTGGAAATCCCTCAGGAACATAACACTTTTTCAGGATAAAAAGTAGCCTTTGTCTCAATCCAGGTCATAAACTATATGTGTGCCAAATTTCATCCAAATCCATTTAGTGATTTAGACATGAAAGCGTAACAAACAAACTCACTTTCGAATTTATAATATTAGTTAGGATTCATATTTTATCTTATATTTATCCGTCTTTGTCACAGAACTAGAGGTGCTGTTACACCCACATTAATTTAAGAAAAAGATTATAGTTAAATACGCACGTTATGCGACTCACACTGAAAGACAATGTTATTGTGGCCTATTACAAAAAAAAAAGCAAGCCTCACACTGGTCGCGTATGACGTATAACATTTGAAACCTCACCTTATTTTAGTAAAAAAAAGCGAGCATTCTTGTGACCAGTGGCGGACTAACAGGGGGGCGGAAGGGGCCGCCCGCCCCGGGCCTCCGATCATGGGGGGCCCCCAAATGCCTCTGTGTTACCCTGATCAAATCCTAAACAAGACTTTAAAGAAACCAGGAAATTCAAGAAGAAATACGTCGGTCAATGTATGAATGCATAGACCGCTTTATACAAGAATTTTCGAATTGGGCTATTAAACAAATGAAAAACATTTTCCAAATTATTGAAACAAAGTTTATGCTAGAAGCTTCAGATGACGCTCTGGCTGTAGCAGTTGACAATCTGATACAAAGTTATGGTGAATTGGACAAGACAGGTTTTAACGAAATAAACATAAGAATCTACATTTTTTTAAACCTCATTCAGCTTTGCCGCCCCGGGCCTCTGACGGGCTTAGTCCGCCACTGCTTGTGACCACACAACTGAAGTGAAACTTTTTTAGCTCCAATGATCTGAACATCATAAACTTAACCTGAAGATTTGTTGATAGAAAAAAAACCACCAATCCGCGCTGGGTTCGTTATCACCCTCCAATCCGCACTGGGTTCGTTATCACCCACCAATCCGCGCTGGGTCCGTTATCACCCACCAATATACACTGGGCCCATTGTCACCCACTAATCCGCACTAGGTCCATTGTCAGCCACCAATCTGCGCTGGGTCCATTATCACCCACCAATCCGCACAGGGTCCATTGTCACCCACCCATCCGCGCTGGGTCCGTTATCACCCACCAATCCGCACTGGGTCCATTGTCACCCACCAATCCGCTTTGGGTCCGTTATCACCCTCCAATCCGCACGAGGTCCATTATCACGCACCAATCCCTGCTGGGTCCGTTATCACCCACCAATCCACGCTGGGTCCCTTATTACCTACCAATCCGCGCTGAGTCCGTTATCATCCACCAATCCGCACTGGGTCCGTTATCACCCTCCAATCCGCGCTGGGTCCGTTATCACCCACCGCACTGGGTCTGTTATCATCCTCCAATCCGCGCTGGGTCTGTTATCACCCACCAAGCACTAGAATCATGTATTTTGTGACGGGTATTGTTCATTGTATACCGATGAGTCACCGTTACGCGCGTAACGCAAAAATCGTCACACATTCGCCAGTTTACCGCCCAAGTCAAGCGTGCCTAAAGAAGTTTCTCTTCAAAAGGAAATAAAACCTACTACAAAAGGAATAAGATTTGAACATTAAGTTCTAAAATCAAATCAAATAGCGCGCGCTTTCGCGACTTCCTGTTACACACTTCCGTCACATTTCACGAAATCACTTCGATCGAGAGGAAAGATATTTCACATCAAAAATTATAGGGGAATAACTCTGACAGACACAGTCATAAGTCCGTACTTAGCGCACACTACGGAATAGAATACTCTTTAAAAAAATAATATTCTGCAACATTTCTCGTGGATGCTCCACTTACAGAACATGTATCGCAGGAATGTTATCGTCATGTATATTCAATAAATGGATAATGATATGAATGGACGAAGGAATGGATAAATGGATTATTCACAGAAAGAATTTTTAAATTTCTGAGATAAGCGCGTTGAAAGATGGTGCAACGGGTTCAACCAAACAATCTCTGTATGCTTCTTTGAAGTAAAAATAATAATAAAAAACGAGCTACATGATAATATGTTTATTAGATTTATTTATACGGTCTTCCCTTGAACACAATGTTACTCCATTTAAAGAGTTCTGTAAAAGGCGGCATTAAGAATAATCCGAAAGTGCTGTCTGAACTGTATGGAGGGAGGATGCAGTAAAACATCCCAACTAAGGCCCATCAATTTTTATTTAGTTGAAAGATGCACCATACATACAACTGACTGAAGTGTGACGGAGTGAAGCCAGGCTTTGGGTTTTATTGTGAAGCTCACTTCCATAAGACCCAGATCGTTTCACAAATTATTATCGTAGGTGCTGCTGAACCACTTATTTGCATTACTTTTGGACACAAAATCACACCAATTTTATTTCACAATAACCACCATGAACGAATCTAAGAATAATTATAATAATTAAGACGCCAACCGCACTCGTTAAAATCCCGCCAAAAACTCCTTTCCCCCCTCCAAAGTTCAGTGCTGCCAGATATAAAACACGCATATCAACTATGCGTGTTTTATTGTGTTCAAAAAGGCCGCAAACTTTTATAACTACTCAAAACAATATTTTTGATGTGAAACATCTTTTGGCGAACATAAACCCATTTCTGGCGTGGCGAGTATTTATCGTAACGGGCTAGTGTTTCACATCTGCCAGGAGGCCCGTGACGGCTCACAAGTTTTTTTTAAGTAGGTCGTTTCGTAGCTTAGTGCTAGACCGCACTACGGTTTTTTCCCGCAAGCGGTAAACCGCGAAACGACTCAGTCGACGACATAGTTACGGCACGATACCTATATACAACACAACGGCTCTTCACGGCGGCGGTCTGACGAATAATGATAGAAACCGCCCGCGGTTACCGCATCAATGTGTGCGCGTCAATATATATTGTATGGACTACAAATTTTGGCGCGGCTTTTACCCGCGAGCCATTCTGTAACAAATCACGGTTTTAAAATCAATCGCGGGAAAAAACCGCTGGTGCGGCCGCTTGCATTAGTTTCCATAATTCACAAAACTACCGTTTCGCCGTAGTGCGGCCTAGCACTTATTGAATATTACAAACCGTGTCAGATAAAATATCTATCATCAAACTAGTGGACGGATTGGATATCCGTAGTCCGTACTGTACAATAGTACGTCCATCGACGTATCTATTTAAATTGTTATTTGTGGTTGCAATAGACTGAGAGCCAGTGATCCGCAGACTTACGGTATAGTAGCAAACTCCATAGTTATACTAATTCATCTGCCGTAGATCAAATGAGGGTTCACTATTCCCATAGAGGGTTTCTTTAGGCGTGCCTTAAAGTCGAAAAGTATGAAAATCGACTTTCAAAACGTGTTCGCAGCATGTCTGATAAGGAAGATTTGGAGTGCCGTATTGAATCAACCGAAGTCTGCAGTTCTGAAGAAGAACAGTGAATAATTTAGATTTTTTGTAGCCAATAATAAATTTATTTATTCCTGCGAAATGAAGAGTGAGAAAATCAAAATCATGCAACTTCAATAGCACGACTGAGAAAGTATCGTGTGGTCTGCCCGCATGTCAGAACCGACTTATGGGTCTGTTTTTGTAAATATATGTTTATAATAAACATATATAATTTTTACCTTTGCTGAAATAAAGCAAATTTTATGAAACTTTGGAAACTATGATATTATATAAAATATAGTAGGAACCGGAGCAAGTGTCTGCCATTAAGTTTTTCAGTAGAAAGAGTAGAGTAGATTTTGATTTTCTCACTCTTCATTTCGCAGGAATAAATAAATTTATTATTGGCTACAAAAAATCAAAATGATTCACTGTTCTTCGTCAGAACTGCAGACTTCGGTTGATTCAATACGGCACTCCAAATCTTCCTTATCAGACATGCTGCGAACACGTTTTGAAAGTTGATTTTCATGCTCTTCGACTTCTAGGCACGCCTAAAAGAACCCTCTATGGGAATAGTGAACCCCCATTTGATCTACGGCAGATGAATTAGTATAACTAGCATTAATATGGAGTTTGTAACTATACCGTAAGTCGGCGGAACACTGGCTCTTAGACCACAACGACATTGACTAAGGCTGTGTCCCCAGTAAGCAAACTGTCAGCGGCCGACTGAGTTAGCGGCGTATCGGTTTAGTACGCCCTTCCATATATTTCAAATGGAGTGTTCACAGTTTGCTAGTTTTGCGCTCACTGTACGCAGTTTGCAGCGTTACGCGCGCCGACTATCTTAGTGAGCGGCCGACTCCCACCAAAACCGGTTCCAGTCGGCGGCGGCGATTGGTTGTTCGCCGGGCGTAGTGACTCAAACTGATTATTCGGATAGTTGGAAAAAAGCTATCATCGTGTTAGGACGTGTTTTTTTGCATCGCACCTAACTAATCTCAACGCACACACACATCACTGAAAATCCAAGATGTCCTTTGATACGGAAAGGTTCATTAGTGAAATACAGAATAGACCATGCATATGGAACATGTCGAGTGAAGAATACAGCAACAGAGTATTAAAGCAGAGCAATTGGAATGAAGTCGCTGAAATTATATACGATGATTGGCAAAACTTAGAAGAAAACACTAAACAAAAAAGAAGTAAGTTCCATTCTAATGAATTTATTATTTATTCAACAATATACTTGTATCACTCACTACATAAAACAAAGTATCATAATTTACATAGTATTTACGGCTTTACACACTCCGTTACACTATTTCTTCCTGTAGCTACAACTTACAAATATTTCTCTTGCCAGGATAGCTTTCCTTCGTTAAGAAAATAGTTTTTAAAGTTTTCTCTTGTTGTTTTTCCAGAATTTGATACAGTAATAATTTGGCTCCTTGAACTTGTAAGAGTTGTTGAGGTACGTCGCGAAATATGTGCATATTGTGCTTGTTCTCTTGCTATGACAAAATTATGTAAAATACAAACGGCTTTTACGATAGCGATGGTTGTATTCACATTAGTAGCGATCGGTGTATGCAGAACTCTCCATTTGCTTGTTAGGATGCCGAATGCACATTCCACGCATCTCCTAGCTCGACTATGACGATAATTGTAAATTCGCTCTTCCTTATTTAAACTTTTATTAGGAAAAGGCCTCAAGATATGCTTTTGTAATCCAAATGCCTCATCTCCAAGAAACACTAAAGGTTGGGGCAATCCATTTGAATTAGGCAATTTAGTTGAGTTAGGAATCTTCAGAGACCCACACGCCAATTTTTTGCCAAAACCACTTTCTTTAAATATATTACTGTCAGCATTTCGTCCGCAAGCACCTACATCAATAGCTATAAAAGAACAGTTTGCATCTGCTACGGCTAACAGAACAATTGAGAAGAACTTCTTATAATTAAAATAGTTAGACCCACTTTTTGGTGGTTTTCTAATACGGATATGCTTGCCATCGATAGATCCTATACAATTAGGATAGTTGGTTTTTTTATAATATCGTTTTGCTATTTCTAGCCACAATTCTTCAGAAGGTTCCGGCATTTCCTGTGGCTGTAAAATATCCCATATAATGCATGCAGTTTCACTTATTATTTTCGATACCGTCGATTTTCCAACAAGAAACTCTTGTGCAATTTTTCTGTAACTTAGTCCACTTGACAAGAATCTGGAAAGAATATTGAACTACCGATTATTTCTGTTTCAGTAAAAGACCTACAAAAAAAATGGAAGGGTTTGCGCGACTATCACACCAGAGAAAAAAATAAGGATTCCTCAGTCAAAAGCGGAAGTGGCGCAACAAAAAAACGCAAGACACCATACTTGGACATGTTACAGTTTTTAAATGTTTCTAGAGCTAGCAACCAGACATCTGGCAATATTAGCGCCGAGACGTCTAGCGACAGTAGCGCTATTTTAGATGAAAATGATTCTACTGACTCGGTAGTTAATGTCAGTAGACCAAAAAAGATGACTGTGTTTCAAGAAGCCCTAATTAACTCGATGGAAAAAAAAAGAGAAAACGATCCAGATATGAACTTTCTACTAAATATTTTACCGGAAATGAAGACAATGTCCCCAACACAGAATTTTGAATTTCGGTTCGAAGTGATGAAAATTATTAAAAATATAAAATATAGTGTACATAATAATTATGACGGTGGTATGATGCAAACTGGATGGACGAATGCCTACCAGTACCCACATCAGTATGGCTATGCGAGTGGAAGCAGCAGTACACCAAATGTGCAAAACTACCCTCGAAACAGTCCATCACATAGCTCTACAGGTTCTTCAGCGGAAATAGAAGACATAGAAGCAATATTGCGAGGCGATTCAAACCACACTGAAGATGAGGAATGACAGGTTACCAACTTAATGTTACCATATATGTTCCTAATTCAATTTAATAATACAGTAACTTTGAAAAGTGATTGTTAAATTAAAAACTATAAATGCGAAAGTGACTTTGTATTACAATAAAAATAACATATTTTTTTAAAATCCTAAAGCGTTAATTATTTACTTACCTCAAAGTTATAGTAAGCCGTTCTTCGGGACATAATGTATCTCTTGTGATATTATTTTTAGCTATGTACTGGGTTATAGATTTCAACAATTCATCAAATGTATGAGAAGTCATATTGAAATAGTCGTAAAATTTTTCTGGATGTTTCCTTAGTTCTGGATAAAGAGTGTGAAATTGTCCAATGCTCAACCTTTTCTTGTATAATGGGTGAACCCAGTGCTTCCTTTTATCCTCTTTCAGCGCTTCTAAGATACCAATTACTTCAAAAATATCCATCGTGACCAACACAACCACTCCCTTCGTACAACAAAAGTAAAGTGATAATTAAGTCGGTCGGCTAAATAAGCGGCTAACTCTTAACAGTTTGCTTGCGACGCACGAAAATTGATTTGAGTCTGCAGCTAACTCAAATTTCAGTTCGCTGCAAATTTGCGGCTCACTCAGTCGGCCGCTGACAGTTTGCTTACTGGGGACACAGCCTAATTGGCCATTATGGGAAAATCCAAGACCCTAAAATTTATCCAAAAAAAACTGAGTGCGATTGGCGTCTTATTTTAATGATTCTTAAATTCGTTCATAGCGGAGATTGTGAAATAAAATTGGTGTGATTTTGTGTTACAACCGTCTGCGCGACTGAAGAATTAGCGGAATCTTTTAAATTTACGCTATTCCGGTCAAGTGGACGGACGTGAGAATTTTATTGCAGTGTTGGCTATCTCACAGAAGCTTATCGAAAAAGCCAACGTGATACATTTCGTGCCAAACATTCCAAGAAACATTAGAATGCGTTATACCGACATTTTAATGTAAAATAGGAAGATTTAATACAACTTACGACTTGGCTGTATGAGCATTGTTTCCTTTGCCATCCCTAAAAAGGGAGAATCTTAAAAAAGCATTGAGGAGTTTTTGGCGGGATTTGATCGAGTGTGGTTGGCGTCTTATTTTAATTATTTTCAAATTCGTTCAGAGTGGATATTGTGAAATAAAATTGGTGTGATTTTGTGTTACAACTGTCTGCGTAACTGAAGAATTAGTAGAATCGTCAAAATATACGCTATTCCGATCAAGTGGACGTGAGAATTTTACTGTAGTATTGACTACCTCACAGAAGCTTATCGAAAAAGCCAGCTTGATACATTTCGTGCCAAACACTTCAAGAAACATTAGAATGCGTCACACCGACATTCTAATGTAAAATGAAAAACAGAATAATTTAACTTAGGACAAGGCTGTATGGGCATTGTTCCCCTTGCCTTCCCTGAAAAGGGAGAATTTAACAAAAAAAAAAAGCATTGACATTACTTATGTCATGTCGTGTCGTAGTTTTCGTATTTGGTTGTAAATATTGAATTTTAATACGTTTTATAACATTGTACTATTTCTAGTGTTACTGTCAATTCTATAAAAATAAATGGCTGCAAAATTAGATCAAAAGGCTTATTTACAAAGGTATCTTGATGGTGGATCTTCAGTAGATAAGAAGAAAAAGAAAAAAAAGGTTACCAAAGGCAATGGGTCAGTATTTTACCATTAAATCAGGGTTAACGGATATTCTGCGGATCTCTGAAACACGGGCTAAGGAATCCTTAGTCCCTGCTCCCCACTCTAAGAAACCATTCCTTAAGTTGTATAATATCTTATTTCTTAGGGGGTTATAAATGATTGGAAAGTCGCTATCTACATGATGCATTTCCATAAACTATGAGAGGCCTGTGTATTTTTTTTATATCTACTTTAACTGAGTATCCCTATATTTACACTTGTTATGAATTTTTTTATTGTATTAATAGTAGCTAAAGTATGCTGTCCTATTTTAGTATTGTCGACATCTGTAAGCTGTCTTATTTTATAAATTCCATATGCAGCAGAACTAAGTTAACCTGCTGATGTTTTAATGTTAGGGTTCTCTTGAAGTTTGTCGTCTAGTGTTACACCTAGGAAATATATGTATTAGCTAAATTTAGTTTTTCAGCATTTAGACTTATATCCCCCATTTCAATATGCTTTACATTTGGTAAATTAATTTCAAATTCTCACCTTGACACTTTAAGTTATAGCATGCACTCTGTTATGGTAACATTTTAGATGAGCTTCCATTGCGTGTGCTGTGTAAATGGTTAAAGTTTCACAAAAACCATGTATGATAAATTTTTTTTCCTTTAAAAGTTCTTTAAAAAACGTCCGCTACAGTGTATGCCCATCTTTTAAGTTTGACTCATTATAATCTTTTCCTCAACTTATTGCAGGTGAAATCGCAGGGGACCTCTAGTTGTCACATAACTGTTAGACATATGGTATCACAGACTTTTTATAAGATATTGATGTTCTCTTTAAAACTTAAATACATCACTTTTCTCTATTTTGTCAATAACTTCCACAGTGGATGTGATATATGTTTAGCTTTTGGATTGTTTTTCACACCTTGGGTTACATTATCCAAGTTTTCATATGGACCAACCTTTAGAGAATACTCTCTAGCTTATGTCCATCAGGGATAATGTATAATTTTAAATGTGAAAGAATTTTTCAAAACAGCCCAGTAGTTTCTGAGCCCATTCAATACAAACAAACAAACAAATCAAATATTTCCTCTTTATAATATATGTATAGATGAGGAAAAGTCAATAAATAAATAGTTGTCCTTATCAGATGATAAATATCTTTGATTTTTTTTAATAAAATTTAATGTTATTTCATATCTGGTTCAGGTGTTTCATATATGTAATACATAAGGAACTTATGATAGGCAATTGTGATAAATTATTGTGTAATAATCAATAATTATGGACTTCATTGTGTTAGCATAGACTAGAAGATTATATTAATAAACATTAATTGTTCTATCTAGACTATTAAATCTAGCATTAAGCATTTCAAGACCCATGCTTGAGTGGTTCAACTGTGTTTATAAAAATAAATTACTCAACTTTTATCAATTATTGAATAATGCAATTTTATCAACTGTTGTTTTGTTGAAGTTGTTAATGATGTATTTTCAAATATTTTTAGGTTTAAAATAATTGATGATGACATTGATTTGACCAAGTTACGTCCTTTGGATGGTGATGAATTGGATGTACTAGATCAAGGGGAAGATGGCCCTCAAATTGCTGGTATAATTGATGAACGACCTGAAGAAGTGAAGAAACTGGAACAGTTTAAAACCAGTTCAAAATGGAGAGTGGTTACGCAGGTCAGATCTCAAATCAAGTAGATGAGACTGCATGTTACTAAAATTTTATACTCATTATTTTTTCATTTCATTCTAGGATGATGGTTTTCATTCTAAATTACAAATAGAGGAAATCAAGAGAGATGTAAAAGAAGCACAAAAAGAAAATGAACTCATCTTTGGTAAAATGTATAGTGACTCTGAGGATGAGAAACAAAATGATTCTGATTTATCCCCACCAAGAATAAGACCCACAGATAAATCAAATAATAGAGAAACAAAAAAGAAACAGCAGAACAATAGTGACAGTGATTTTAGTCCTCCAAGAAAGGGAAGGGAATCACCCTCAAGGCATGAAAAAGACCAGGATAATGATTCCGATATATCACCTCCTAGAAAAGGATCAAGTAGTACCGGGAAAGAGCATAGAAGTAGGAAACCGTCAAGATGGGGTGATATCAGATCTATGTCTAAATCACCATCACCTAAGAGATCTAAATACCCACATAAAAAATCATCTCACAAAGGCAAGAAATCAAGATCTCTGAGTTCTGATTTATCTCCTCATAGACCTTCAGGATCACAAAAATACAAATCGTCACAGCAAACATCAAAGAAAGAATCAGTTGTGAGGAATAGATCTCCAAGTAACAGTACTCACCAAAAGAGATATGCATCATATGAATTCGAGACTGGTACATCAAGAAATAGAGATGACAGACACAGATTTAATGAAAGAAAGCAATACAAGGAGTTAGAAAACAGACAACAGCACTCAAAAGATGATGACTCAGATTTATCACCCCCGAGAAAGAATAATAGTAAATCAGAATCTCCACCAAGAAAATCCTCAAAGCACAATGTTGTGAAAAATACTGTTAAAAGAAAAAGAGATAGCAGTTCTGATATGTCGCCACCCAGACGGGATAGTAGCAGAAATACGCGGGAGACTGAGAAAAATTATAAAGGAAGAAGTAGAGATAGCCCCCCACCCTCTAATAAGAAAATGGAGAAGACCCTGGACGGGAAGAAAGCTGGCTTGCAAGATGCGGGGCAATTGAGAGAAGAAAATGCAGCTTTCAGAAGGAGAGAAGACGATGCATTTAATAAGATGGCAGATGAAGTCTCCGGAAGAAATGCCACAGCAGTCTCCAGGAAAGGTATAAAATATTTTAAGCATATTTTTTTAGGTATATTCTTTGTAAAAAAAAAGCTAAGTATATAATTTTAAATAAAAAATATTTTTATTTCAGCAAGTAAGAGAGACACATCTGAAGAAAGACGTAAACAGAAAGAAAAGGCGGAAAGACAAAAAGAATTAGATGAGAAGTACAAGAAATGGAGCAAAGGGTAAAAATTATTAAAATAATTAACATTACTAATCATCATCATCATCAGCATGTTAATGACCCCATTGCTGGGGCACAGGCCTTCTGTATGTATGGAATAGGGAGATTGGTTTATGACCACTGGCCCAGTGAGGATTGGTGCGTGCTAACGACTGTAGATGCCGCCGGGACCGACGGCTTAACGTGCCTACCGAAGCACAAGCCAGAGAAAATTCTCTTTTTTGCCATGGCTGTAACAGCAAATCAACTTTGCACGCAATAAAATCTCTGTTGTGCTTATTGATTTGTTTTTTTATTGTTCCGCAGTTTGTTATAGTATGTTTATAACATGAATATTCCCGTAATTGTGATTATTTATTTTTGTAGCAAGAAATATGTTAAAAACCATGAATACATGATTACGCTTTGTTAACTTTACAATTGAAAAGAAATGCATTTTTTGTTGAAATATTATTAACTAGTAGCCGCCCGCGACTGCATCCGCGTTAACTTTAGTTTTTTCACAATTCCACAGGAACCCGTAATTATTCCGGGAAAAAAAGTCTATGTCCAGGTCATAAACTATATATGTACCAAATTTCATGCAAATCGGTTCATCATTATAAGGATACTAGTGGATCCCTCCGTTTTGCGTGAAAAAATGTTTTTTTGAACTATCCAATCATCCTTAATGGGATGCCATCCCATCCCATTTCTATTTCTGGGACAAAAGCTATCCTATACCCTTTTCCGGTACTCTGCACCATATTTTAGTTTGAAAATAGACCGATAGACAAGACACTTCCGCATTTTAAAGCAAAACGTTTATTATTTTTTAATAAATACATCCCTACACAAATATTCTAAATAAATAATATTTTTTTCCTTCATCATTAGTACATACTAACTTTACACTTTTTTAATTGTTATTAAAAGAATCCGCTCATCTCAGCAAGCATCGATGGTTCACTGTGTAGTAAGCTCGCCTACCCCGCGGCCGGTCCGGTTTCGATTCCCCGTTGAGGCAGGCCTTTCTTTATTCTCCATAAGCCAAAATAACATCAATTAAGTATCAATCATCATCAGCCTATTAACGTCCCCACTGCTGGAGCACATGCCTTCCGTATGGATGGAATAGGGAGGTTGGACCATGACCCACGCGAGCCTAGTGTGGATTGGCGGGTGCTAACGACTGCAGATGCAACGGCTTAACGTGCCTTCCGAAGCATGGAGGAACTCGAGATAGAAGATTTTTGATCACCCATCCATTGACCGACTACTGCAGAAGTTGCTTAACTTCAACGATTGCAGCCGAAGGCGCTTACCACCCGCGCCATCGAGCTCCTCAAATCCTCAATAGGGTATTTGACAGTATTAAAAATAAAATGCCAATAGGGATGATGACAAATTTTTTTTCTTCGTTTATCAGGTAGATTATTAAAAAGAATTGGACACGTATTTTTTCTTTTTTCACATAATATAAACATTGCAGAGATATATTGATTTGAAAAGTCGCATGACATCACGTTTGAGTACACTTGTAAGTGAAAATTCACACAAAAGTGACGTCACGAGCCCCTACTTCCTAACTTTGACGCGCTATAACTTTGTCATTTTTTGGTTGATTGCCCAAAGAAAAAATACCTGTCCATTATTTTTTGATCATCTAACTGACGGACTAAATAGAATTTCGGTTACTGTACCCCGTCATCATCCCTATTGTTAGCATCTGTGTTAAGAATGAATATTGGCAGAGGTTTTTACTATTTTTACAAAAAAATATTCATAATTTTACTAAAAACCCACTAAAAAGATAATAGTTTTCTTATCTATTGTCACGTGACCCAAAACGCTTGGCATTGGCGGAGCCTAAAATGACGTCACACGCAAGTAAACTTCCGATTAAAGTGACATTACAATGTATCGTTTGACGTTTTAATAACAGTCGTGTGACGTCACACACTAGTAAGACGCCACATTGTCCAGAGAAACGTTTTCACGGCCAATTGAAAATACAGTTTTTGATTTGGTTATTTTTACTGAAATACACAACAGAATGATAAATGTCCACTCCGGACGGACTCCATAGACATTAGTCAATAACGTGAGATCGTTTTCTAAAACTTGTCAAATACCCTATTAAGTATAGGTAAAGAGTTAAAAAGTTTCACTTGCGTTGTGTTTTTATAATATTAGTATTGATTTTTAGATTGAAACAAATAGAAGCTCAAGAGGCCCGCATGCAAGATTTCATGCACGAAGCGTCCAAGCCTCTGGCGAGACATAAAAATGACCGCGATTTAGAGAATTCTTTAAAGGATGTCCTAAGAGATGGAGATCCCATGCTGCAGTATATTATGGACAAAAAACGCGAGAGAGGCGACCTAGGACCAGGTATGACGATTTTACATTTGTTTTTTTTATAATATTTTTTCTTTAAGCATTTAACTGCTAGATGTTTAAATCTAAAAAAAATTTTATAGAAAAAATCCACGCGAACCATGTAGCAGACGGGTTCGAACCCACACCATCCGCTACCCGGGCGGATTCACTGACCATTATGCTACCGCGGCCCTAATTGGCCGTGTCGAATTTTCTCTAGCATTTCTTAGGCTGCAACGTACCGCCATTTTTCGTATTGTAGGTAACCCACATTGTCAAATGATTACCAGGTGCGGGTTCGAGTCCCGTCTGCTGCCTGGTCCACATGGATTTTTTCTAGTAAAATTTGTTCTTTATTCTCGAAAAAAAAAGTATTAACATTGGTTTATTTGTTGACCTTTTGTCTCAGAGGAAGTTGAATAGATCATAGAAGCTCACCCTCGCTTTGATTTGGCTATAGACTATAGCACACTATAGATTTTGTTCTATATAGCCTAATTTACCCACAAATAACGTGGCTTTCTAGTGGTAAAAGAATTTTCAAAATTGGTCCACTAGGTTCAGAGATTACCCCCTACAACCTCACAAACTATACCTCTTTATAATATCTTATACAGGGTATAAAAAACCTAAAACTACGCAAGACAAAGACTAAAACTACGCATTCTGTACACCCAAATAAGTAATATTACAAAATATTATATGTGGGAATAATTTGTATTTTTAAGCTAAAAAGATACATTTTTTTTCCAGTATGCAATGTATAGTGCAATGCGCTACTATGGCGCTACGCAAAGAATGCCTGTGTGTATGTGTTTGCGTGTGGGTAAATGTGTCGATAAAAAAGTTTCTAAAATAACGTTTTCAAAATATTAATGTAAAAATCTCGAAAAACAAATTGTGACTTTGACCTTCAATATCTCCATAACCATAAATTTCCCAGGTATGGTCCAGAAGAAAAATATGATCGTCATGATGGGGAAAATACGTGGCCTTCGACTTTGTTAAAGGATTTTTTACACCCTGTATATGAACAAATACATACATAAAAATCTACTCCAGTCGGTAGAAAGAAAGCACACAAGTGAAAACAAAAGTTTTACAATTTTTATCTACTAATGGAACGTGTTTTTTCCACAGAGAAGCCAATTTACAAGGGCAAATTCCCGCCAAACCGTTTCAACATCCGTCCGGGATATCGGTGGGACGGCGTGGACCGATCCAACGGTTACGAAAAGAAGTACTTTGAACAACAGAGCAAGAGGAAAGCACAGGAGGAAGAGGCCTACAAATGGAGCACGGAAGATTTGTGAATGAAATGTACCTACATACCTGTTATATAAATTAAATTTTATAAGTAAACTATACGGAGTTTAGAGCATTTAACACCACCGATTTTACCTTCTTGAATCTAAGTAGTTTTTATTTTATGTGTGTTCCATTTTCTTACTTCTGTAAGGATAAAAACAAAATGGGTGCGTGTACTTATGTAGGCGCGTGAGAAGTTATCCTTCTTTGGCATCGTTTAAAATTAGTTTTTAATTGCATGCAAATAATTAATTACAATAAATTAATAAAAAGTCTGGAAAAGGACACAGTCAATAAAGTTCAGTTTTAATTTGAAAAAATAAATAAATAATCATAATATTCAATTAAAATCGCTACTGAATATAATTTATTAGAACATATGTGATTTGCACTTGTATGAAACTCAACACGTATTCCGAATATACAAACTAGAAACATGTGGATAAATATTATAAATATGATGGGATCTGACAAAATTCGTGAGACACCTGGTGTTCAATTTTGGAACTAATACCGGGGTGCATCGCTCATCAAAACACATAAGTTATCATTAGTGTCATTAGTACTTTTGAGAAATTAAACAAAAAATGACGGAAGAATTAGGAATATTTAACCCTCGCAAGATTTCTAAAAAAAGAATAAAGTGTTGTGTGTATGGATGTGGAAGCAGTTTTCAAAAAAACCGTGAATTAACGTTTCATAAGTTTCCTAAAAAAAATGCGCGTTGTGTTTACATCAAAAATTATTTTGGTCAAATGGAAAAAGTGGACCAATTCACAGCATGGAAGAACGCTTTGAAGATTGACTGTAAAATAAATCCTCACATGAAAGTGTGTTCATTGCATTTTCTGAAAGACGACTATATATTACCAGGTGAGTCAAATTCGTTTTTTGAGGTTAAGCATGTGTGAAGTAGCATTTTACAAGATCTCATTATTATTCCACTAAGAAAAGAATGGGACGGCAACAACATTAAAATGAAAGAGTTTCCTTGGTTTAGTTACCACAATTCAATAAATGTTTGTGTATACCACAATTCAATAAATGTTTCGCAGCTACCAGTCGTTCACCCTCTCGAAAATTGCGATTACTGGGCGTTGAACCGGACCATTCACAAATATCATTAATTGTTAAGACTATCATTATCTACCACTAATATTGATATTTAACTATTTTACGGTATTTCATCACAGTTTGACTAGGCAAATGCACCCCCGTCGGCGCCATATTGAATAGGCCACGCCTCCATGTCAGATCCCAATAGCTGTTACTTTATTACAAAAAATAAAGATGTGGTTTTTGGTTCTACGTTGGTCCCGGCTTGAGTCCAATGGTCAAGAGATGGCGCTGTAGTCTCCTGAATCGCGCTTTGGTTCCGTTGTTCCAGATTAATAAATACTTTTGATAGGCCTTCACAATGCAGTCGTTAACACCCACTAAATAGAGATTCTATTTCTATTTTGTTGGTAGATTTTCTTAATGTGTGGTAAACACAAAAGTAACAGCATGAAGTTGGTCGCTAAAGCGACCAACTTCATGCTGTTAATTTTTGTGTTACAGTGATGCGCGCGCATCTTAAAATTTTACTCTCATCATTTTTTCATAACGCGCCTAAAGAAGTATAACTTCAATACAAAACAAAAATTGTAATTTGATAAGAAATATACCAAATTTAAGATAAATTATATCCCAGTTTTTTAATGGGAGCGTATTATATTTTGCCTGTAAGTGAAATAAAGAATCTTTTTTATAACAAGTTCCTAATAAAAGCTTAGTCTTAAATTTTTTCTTCTTCTATTACATTATTTTTTTTAGATTACGTTTTTTACTTCCAAATAATATTATTTAAAATTCAATAATTTGATAACAATGAAAGAAACTACTTTCTTTTCTGCAATTGTAAATCGATAAATTTGTAAAGTTGATGCAGTCGATTGTATGTTAACCTAAATTTGTAGTAGGTATAATACTTTGAAGTATCGAAACTCCAAGATTCATAGTAATGTGCTTTAATTCTTGATTTTTCTATAATCAAATCGTTCCTTATACAAAGCATGCTTGATCAAAAATACGATAGTAGTCATCTGAGGCTTCATTAAACCAAAATCCCAAAACCTAAAATGAATTTAATTATATGTATACAGGCTGTCCCAAAACTTTGCCACGTGGAGGGGAAGTACCTCTAATACTGTAGATACTAAGTTTTGCAGATAATAATAATAATAATAATAATAATAATAATATTTATTTGTTCTCTTCTCACACACTGAAATTTACAAAATACTATAGGTAATTTATACAAATACAGTCGGTTAAGCATCAGACATCATTAAGTATTGCAAAAGCTGCGTATTTGAAGTGTGAGAAGCTGGTGCCTGAAGTAGGCATTAAAGGCCTGTAGTACAGGTCGCCAGGCTCCCACCCCACAGAAATTATCCTACATTGACATATATTGTAATATAACTTATAGCTTATAAATATTACCCATATTATTATTCTACTTCTTCCTCAATAATTTAGCGATCACTTAGTTTAGTGCTATTTGTCTATTAAACCTAAGTTATTTATACACTACTGTTGAGTTACAAAGAGGGACTCCGTGCTGTCATAATTCATGGCACTCAACCATTCGTGCACCTTTACTTTGCATTCGTAAGTATTACATGTGTATATTTGTAGTCTTCTATCTATGCTGTTATACAAAAAGCCACCCAAAAAACAAGAATACCTTTTCGTAAAAGCTTTTCTAACTGCATAAGTCGGAAAAACACTCCTGCTCCTTCGTCTGTCACCAACGATACTACTACCTGCCTCATATGCAATTGCAGAGTGTTGTTTTAGCACAGTCTCCAAAATAAAAAGTTGACGAACTGTTAAGACTTGCCAGTGGCGATAAAGAAGCTCGGTGGAGTATCTAAAGGGGAAGAATCCACATACTTTTAAAATAGCCCTTTGCGCAACTTCTATTTGCTTTAGGGTACCCTTTGCAACCCCTCCCCAAGAAGTGATGCAATATGTAAGTAGGCTTCTTGCAAGTGCAAAATAAATACGTTTTAATGCTTCCTTATCCAACACATATCGCAAATTTTTAAAAATGTAAATAAGTTTACGCAACCTGGCGGACATCAATTGCAGGTGATTTTTGAATGACAAATTACTGTCTATCGTTACACCAAGATATTTTATGTTTGAGACAAGTTCTATTGATTTATTACATGAGCATTTAATTTCTTCAAAATTGTTGCATTCATGTGAAATTATAGCTCTGGCGGGTCTCTCTTCTAATGGCAATTTACGCATGGAAAACTTGACATATTTCGTTTTATCGGTGTTAAGGGTTAACAAGTTAGTTTTTAACCAGCTATTAATTAAGTTGAATCCCTGTTGGGCAGCATCCTGTGTCAATTCCCAGGTGGAAGCAGAAAAGAGAAGACATGTGTCGTCTGCGTAAGATATAATACGGGCAAATGGAATCTGCAAGGAAGATAGGTCATTAATATATACCAAAAAAAGTGTAGGACCCAGAATACTGCCCTGAGGAACTCCGTAGTTGATCTGAGCTTTGTCACTCACATAATCCCCTATTTTGGTACTTTGTGTTCTATGAGAAAGATAGTCTGTCAACAGATCTAATTGCACACCTCTACAGCCATATGATTCTAACTTTTTCAATAAGATTGGTACCGAGACCGTGTCGAAGGCCCGCGCGAGATCTAGAAAAAGGCCTATCACCTTGTTACCCTTGTCTAAGTTTTTAACCACAAAATCTGTCAACTCATGCACAGCCTCGGTGGTAGATCTGCCACGTCGAAATCCAAACTGATTATAAGAAAGCAGACCGTTCGATTCAAGATAGTTCACGAGTCGAGAGTTAATAATTTTTTCCAAGATCTTAGAGAACGCAGTGAGAATTGATATAGGCCGATAATTCCCGACACAGTCTCTATCACCAGATTTGTAAATCGGATGAACGATAGAGTGTTTAAAAGCAGAGGGGAAAACTCCTGAGTTGAGGGAAAGGTTAAAGATATGTGTTAAAGGAGCGATGAGAAATGATCTAAATTGTTTTATGAATACATTGGAGATGCCGTCCCAACCATCAGTGCACACGTTCTTGAGACTCATTATAAAACGCTCGACTTCATCTTCATCAGTATTTAACATTGCAAATGATGCCGTTCTTGTCGGTATGTGTCTTACAGCCTTTGCATGATTAGGGAGCTTATTAGAAGCAATTTTTTCTGCTAATTCTTCGCCCACTCTTGTAAAATAAGAATTCACTGCATTTATTGACTCTGTTTGGGTGGATGAAACTTTGAGAAGTTCAGTCGATTGTTCTTTCATTTTAACAGTGTTTGAAATCTGTCCAATTGCCTTCCACAACCTCCCGTTATCTTTACCAGCTTTTGTGACTAAATCTTTGTTGTAATTGATTTTTGCTTTTTTTATTAGAGCATTACAGTAGTTTCTATATCTCGAATATGTGAGTTTAATTGTTTCATCATTAGGGGATGTTTTGTGCTTTTTGAACAGATTATCACGGTTCCTTATGCAGCGTAACAGACCTGGAGTTATCCAGGGTTTTATAGTTCTTTTTTTGTTAGGGATTGTAATGGTTGAAGTGTTTTCTGAAATTATTTTTTGCAAGTATGAAATAAATAAATCCGTTGCAACATTAGCATCACTACATTGAATGATAAAATCCATACTATTGTTCTTTAATTCTATCCTAATTTTATCGTAATTTAATCTTTTCAAAGTTTTGGACCCTCTTTTTGTATTCGATTTAGTTGCCAAACTTAATATGACAGCTTGGTGATCGGTAACGGATGAGTTAAGGACTATCGTAGTAGCTTTCATAGCGGAGCGAAGGATTACATGGTCGAGACACGCCTTATTACGCGTTGGAATATTGTGAGCAGGAAGTAAGCCGTGAAAAGCGTTAAGGTTTAAATATTCCATAGCTCTAGCATCCGTCGATCCTGTTACTACATCCAAGTTGATATCGCCAATAATAGCG